AGTAATATAGTAGTAGATAGACTTTCATGGTATGCCTTTTTGATTGTGTATTTACTACGTAGGTCTAGAAAGTATCACACTGTGATAAAGCTTTGTGTTTAATGGGGAGGGCACAAACATGATTCAAGAGTTTATGCTCTGATTCTCTTGTTTGGCTTTCTTTCTGCATGACCAGTACACAATAGCGCAGGAATTCATATCATGAACTCTGTGATATCACCAAGAATGACTGACCGAGTGGCTGTGCACTATGTGACGTGACGTGGAGCCAAAAAGACAATGGTCAGGCCCTCTGCTGTTTTTCGTTAGAAATGGTAAAACCAAGTTGAAGCCATCCTACATTTACCAGAAAAAAAGATGATGTTCCCACCCATCTGAGAATGGTCCATTGTTGAACGTAGCCCAGGGGGTCCCTTTGGGGGGCACCCACAGGGTTAGTGACCCATGCAGGTTCTACAAAGCGCTCCTATGGTGCGTAGCCAGTAATGCAAATTGGGCAGGCATGTTGCCTAGTTAAATATAATTTCAGTCAAACTATTTTGGGCATGGTATTGAACTTGAAGGTTACAGATGTCTGACTGTGTTTGGGGTGGGTGTACTGCCGGTTGGCTGTGTGTTGCCAGAACAACTTCATAGAAACCCACCATTATGATTAATCAAGCCAGGGAGTTTTTTTCTGAGCAATCCACTTTTTCTGGCTAAATTTCCTTCCGCATGGCCTCTTTTCCTTTGTTGTTCTTGTCTGTCTCTTAACCATAGTTTGACCTCATTTTAATATCTCCTCAGAGTCTTTTATTTTCTTCTTGTGAGTTTTTTTAAACATTTTATTTTTGACTCTTGCCCGTTTTTATTTAAAATATTGTAGACATTATTGACTGCAAATTGAGATTTTTTTCTTTTCGGCTGATGATCTATAATATTGGATTGAACTAAAGTCAGTCATTACCATAATTCATTCCTTTTTAAATGCACCAAACACAAAGGAATTTCAAAAGTATACATGTAGATCCCATGCAAAGAGTTTAAGAACAACAAAAAATCATTAATGATTAATTTTTATCATTTCATTCAAATATTCATAAAAGTTTAGGTTAGTAACCTGTATGCAGTATTTTTTTTCTGGTTTCTTTGCTAGCAATTAGGGTTTGTTATTGTACAAAAGTGACGTACAGTAACTCTGCATATGAAAATATTGTTGATGTATAAATACACATAAAAAGTAAGTCTTCAATTGCAAATATTTTACTTCAACATGAAATACAGTGAAAACAGTTAAAAAGCCTCACAAAAGTTTGAAGCCATAGACAAAGAATGAAACATCACATAATTAATAAACTTAAAGAATACAAAAAGATAAAAAGTATTTTTAAAAAATAAGAGAACAATGTTATTTCCTAATGTATTCTTTATTTCTATTACAAAAAAAGAATCAAGGTTTAGAAAAAGCCAAACAAATTTTTGACCATTTTGAACTTCTTTTTCTCGTATGGCTTCCGTTATTTCTCAAATGTCTTCTAGCAATCATATGTTGCTATGCTGGGATACGGAGCATATATGCGTTGTATGTCTGTGATTCATATCATAACATCCTGTCTCAATATGCATTGTATGGATGGACTGTAGACAAATCTTGCTACGTTCGTTCACTGTGTAGTACATATTAAATGCCTCTTAAAGGGATAGATCAAGAGCCTCTCATAAGTTCCTCCATCTTCACAAAGTAATTACATCTAGAAGATGAGCTTGATTGATCATGCATAATGCGTATACATATGAACTGAAATGATGTCTTTGTGATAACTGTTGTAACTGACATGAAAATGGTGATGCATGCTGATTGCATTATGCAGAGATGATGGAGTAGAGGTGTGCTTAATTGGTTGAATGTAATGTTATTAAATTATATTATTTCACAACAAAGAGATCGCATTATCGCAGCACAAAATGCTGCACAGTTCTCACGATTATATATATTTTAAAAGGTATTTTCTGGGGCACCTGGTAAACGAAACAAATAAATACTGTACATTTTATTTTTAAAATCATGACAAGAGAAAGATCAACAAATATTTGATATAATGTAGAATAAAAAAATATATGCTTCATAGTATTTCATGTTACAATTTGGGTTATTTGCTTTTAAGATTTTTAAGTACCGGTAAACAATAATTGTGAAAGTCATGTTGTAATTAGGTGGTCATATAAATATTGATCTTCATATATAATTTAGATCTAATAATCCCTATAGTATACCATAGTCACACTATTTGATTAACATTTTTATCTTTAATTCAATATTTGTTCAAAAACTAAATATAACCCATAGTTGCTCAAAATAGAATTGCGGTCCTTACATTGATAATGCATATCATCATGTACATAGTAATGCTGATATGGAAAGGAAACTTAAGGTAGAGAAACAACAACATTGGCAGAGTATTTGCTTATTGGATTTGTTCTGTAACATTTCCCTCCAGTTGACTTGTGGAATTGTTTTTACGTGATAAAAGTCTGTCTGCCATAGATCTATCAATGTACCCCTTCACATGCTGCCTACAGAGTAATCAAACAGCCGTATCTGAACGGGCTAGAGGCTCGTTTACGCGAAAGATAATCTCGACTGTGTGCTTGTGATATCTTGTGACAACTGTTAAAGCGGTTAAGTGTCGAATGGGAGCCCAGCGTTTTCATTACAAATGTGACTTCCGTTACATTGTGGCGGATAAAGTTCTTGAGTTGTTGCTGAATCACTCGTTTGCGCAGCCAAACGTGACACAGTCAATTAATGAGTTAGCGGTGTGGTGCACCGTCCCAGGAAATGCCATTACTGTGAAGCGCCCCCGATGCCAGGTTTGGCAGCATGGCAGGAAAGTAGTCTTGACCCGAGATTTCACTTGTCAAGAATATTCTGAATAAAACATTTTACGCCCTCGATCAAAATTTAGAGGAAGGAGGGCTGGCTCTTGAGGTGCTCTGAAGGGGGTGAATGAAAGAAACAACAACACTACCATAAGAGAGGAAGTATAGCAAATATACTGACAAAGTCTCACATGCAATGTTTTTTGATAACTGATTGTATTCAATACACAGCATCAGTACATTTTTGTTCCCATTGCTCTTACATAATTAAGTAATGATCTGAAAGAGGTCCAAAGCAATGCTACAATGTATTTCATAATTTTAAAAAAAAAATCCTTCAACCCGGTTTTAGCATGCTTTCAAAAGTAATGAAAAATTTAAAAATCTTGATAGCTATTGCCTGGGACTGTATTGCCTGTATTTCAAGATTGTCCTACACCTGTACATCTCTTAAATAGATTCTAGTGGCCTAACTTATTGTTTGTTTATTTTACATTTGATCAATGATAGTTATAATGATGACCTAACAGTTATTTCAATTATTCAGTTACAAAGCCAACTTTGCAAAAATATCTGACAGCAGCACTAAGGTCTTCCAGGAAGTACACACAAAATGATTTTTTTTTGGCTTCATGCCTGTATTGACCAATGATGTGGAAATTATAACAAAACGAAAATGAAATGAAGAGAAATACACATGGGGCTAGCTATGTACATGTATGCTGTGATAGGAGACTAGAGGGAGCCAGTCACCCTCAAATGACTCAAGTTTACGGCAGGCAGAGCTGTCTGGCTCGGTGGTTGCACAGCTGCTAAGAGTTGTCCGCATTTGTTCGCTTCTCTCTGTTGTTATCCTATGTAATTACAATGCTTGATTGCTCTCCAATTTATCTCCCATTGCTTTCCAAAAAGGCTGTACAACCTGTGCAGATATATTTCCTACCTCGTGATTTATTCTGAGATCTAGGTTTAAACTGGGGCATCTACTCTTTATACATTCATAAGTAAATATATAGTTCCTTTTTATAGAAAACATGGTAGCTTGTATTAGCAGCTAGAGGGAGCACGATTTGAACAGAAGGTTACACTGGTCAGAGTCTTTGGAGCTGATACTTGTACCAAACAATATTTTGTCTGTATGTACATGTACTTTAACAGAGCATGGTGAGCCGAATAGGTACTATGTAAAATGTGCATAGGCAACAACACATGATCCATCCATGCCACACTGTACAGAGGACAGTAAGATAATCAAGAAACGTAAACATTTAGTAAAATATTAAGCAATATTGATATTTTAGAAGATTTATGTATATTGCTGCAGTAAAAGAGGTAAATTTCTATGGGAATTAATACACCAGGCGCTATTAAAGTAATGATCGTTTTCACTTGAAAATGTGAAAATGTACCTTTAAATCATTCAGGAAAGTCAGAATCCTTTATCCCTGTTAAGAAGACATGTGTTTATCAAATTAGTGATTTAAACAATGGAAACAAAAGTTTTGATAACTAGAGCGCCGGAGGATGGCAAGTAAGGACATGGCCTTGCTTGACGATTGATGATTAACTTGAATGGGAACAGTATAACAGTCAGGATAGAGAAGTATCATAAGAATGAACTTGTATTATGTTGTAAATTCTCAGAAGCGTGTGATTAAATGTCAAGTCTGATGATAACACAAAGGCTTATTTCCGCAAGATATAGTTCGGAAAGTATGAGCCTACTCAAGGTATCAATTTCAAACTTTGAACATGTGGGTTTAACCAACCATATTTTTACTGTATGTCTGATTTTTAGATAGATAAAAGTTTGCCTTTCTTTTAGGGATACAAGATGGTTTCATTTTGAATTTGAATATCATGGAATAAGAATCAAGATAAATTTAAAGGGCTCTGTAAATGTTTGTCTGTATTATTTTTTGGTAATCCTGAACAAGTGTAAATTAGGTAAAAGATCAAATTTTAAAAAATAATTCTAAAGATATTTGGGTTGAATCAGTATGTTACAAAGAGTAATTTATCAATATTTCTTAATCTGAATGCATTGATTGATATTATGTCTGCCATTTCTTTAAGCACATTGACAGTTACTAATCGGCTTTTCTTTTTTTCTCTTCTATTTCTCTTCCTATCTCCCTCAGATTCTGAATAAGAAAGAGAACAAGGGATGCGAGAGTCCGGACCCTGACTCTGAGTCCTACATCCTAACGCCACGCACTGAAGCCAAATACCAGAAGATCAATGAGGAATTTGACAGAATGATGAATGGTGGAAGTGGGCAACCCATGAGCAGGGTAAAAAACTCTTTTTAAGACGAGCATTCCGCATCTTGTGGGTTGGCTAAGTTACTTCGGATTCAGAGCCCTTCAAAAATAAACCTGGGGAGTGTTTCACAAAGACTAAGATCTACTTTAAGTTGGACTTAACTATGGCAGGCAGTACAAATCATCGACACAAATCTACAGAATTTTTTTTTTTTCGATAGTTTAGTTTAAAGAGGCATGTTCCCCGTATTCCAGAGGGCGTTCAAAATACGTACCCGCTGGCGGACGGTGCTAGCTGCCTATTGACACCAACAGAATACGGCTCTTACGCAGATGGCATGTTCCGAATGCCCGGACAATACCGATTATCGCATACATGTGCCGAAGTAATGCCAATCGCAGTTCGGCTCTAAGATTCGGCTGCTGTTTCCGCCCACTTTCGTGACGTCGCGATCGTCAGCGATCAGCTGGCTTGGCGAAGGCAGGCCAGGCCGCGCGTACTTTGATTGACAGCTGTATGCAAATTAGAAGTCGATCTTCGGAACCAAGATGGCGATGACTAGAGCAGCGATAACTACACTGGCGGGAACGTGCCACTTTAATGAAGGAAAAAATCTTATCTAAAGTTCATTATGGTGAAAGCAACCAGTGGCATAATTGGCCTGCCATAGTTGAGTCCAACTTAAAATCGATCTTAGTCTTTGTGAAATACTCCCCAGATGCATGAATAGAAAAGGCAAGAAAATTCTGCGCACATTGTCTCCAGTTTTGTTGCGTGACCATATTGTGTTTGATGTTTGTGGAATAAGGTTTAAAATTCTTAAATTGGCAACTCATTTGATAGGTTCAAAGTCACTGATCTTGAGCATGAGAGTCATCGTGGCTCATAATCATGGATATGGTTTTCATTGACATGAAATTTTGCTAGAACAATCTAGAAATAACAACAAATATAATCATTGCCAATTTGAAGAAGAGGCGATCAATTCAGTCTCCAAGAAAAAGCCAGTCCTAACAGGGTTTAATAATAAGAATGATCCAGGATTATTTACTTCCTTCATTGAGCCTTCCGCTTCCATTCAGGCACCCCAACTCCTAGATTGGATGTAGCAGGCTTGTGTTGTTTTAACATCAGGACGATGGTATGGTATGTGACAGGTGCAGAATAGAAAGAAGCACCTCTTCTGTTTATGACAGCTCAAGGCATGATGTTTGTATATCATGTTCTGTGCATTGTATTAGGAGCCATGTGCAAGTATGTCCTTTGTTCAAGAAAGCATCATGTTGATTTAGAAAACAAGAGGCAGCAGGGCCTCTTGCATCAAAACTTGTGTTTAAATATACCCAAAATTTAATGTAAATTCCAAAGGTGCATTAATTTTTAGGAGTTGCACTTTAAATTCATCTTTCTATGTAGGAGGTGTACAGTCTTATCTTTGAAAATACAAATTGTTGCTATGATGTGTCTACATCAATTTAAAAACATCACATACAGTCTATAGCAGGTGTCTGCACTAACTTTTTTTCACAGAGGGCCTCGGATAACATTTTAGGGTTTGCATTGGCTTCCTGTTCAGTTTTGAAATTTGGGGTGTCCAGAGCTAACATTTGAGAAGCCATGTGAATCAGGTATATGTCGTTGTCAAACCATGTCTAAAGAAAGGAGAGATTACAGAGATAGAGTGTTATTTATGAAGTGGATAGAATGAGGAGGCGCGATAGCTCAGTCGGTAGAGCAATGGTCTTGTAATCCGGTGACCCGGGTTCGAAACCAAGTCGATGCGCTAGTGCCCTTTGGTAAGGCATTAATCCTCATTACCAGGTCCATCAGAGAGGACCTAAAGCTGTCGGCCGTCTGGTTGCTTACTTACAAGCATTTATGCTAAATAACAACCACCATCTAAGATTACTGAATTTTTGTTTTTGTTTCTACAGTCACAGATCCCTCCAGAGTACCCAGCTTCCATGCCCGTGTCCGTCCCACAGACCTCCACTATACCATACAACGGAGGCCACCATCACCATCACCATCATCCACATGGTCAACCCAGTCCCAACAGCAACCACAGCCAACAGCAGCAACAACAACAACAACAGCAACAGACACATGTAACCAGCTCCAGTCTCATGCAACCGCCCATTGCCCGTAACAGCCTCAGCCCGCAGCCTCACATGCTGAGTAGGACGAGTCTCAGTCCGGGTCCTGGTCCTATGCGCAACAGTCTTAGTCCTCAGCCACAGATCTCACGAAGTACACTCAGTCCACAACCGCCCAGACCAGCCAGTACAGGTGAGCATTACAATGAGAAGGATTGACTAAGCCCAAGTCATATCCGACTTGTTTAGTGTGGTGGCTTTTAAAGAAGGACTGTCTATTAAACAGTGAATTAGAACTTGTTTTCCAATGTTAATCAGCATCAAAATATAAGCTTCTTTTGGGTCAATTTAAAGAACCCTGTTTCTTTCCTGTGGCAATTCTCGTTAATGCATGGCTATGTCTTTCGTGTATATGTATTTCATTATTTCTACCAGATATACTTTCCTCAGAATGCCATTCTTTCATTGAGTAAACAGTATGCATTTTGGCTTTAGTAGGTGCACAATGGGAAATTCAGATATAAATTCCTTGCAAATACGATTTAAAGCAGAACTGCACTACTTGTAGCTACTTGCGTCTTCTATACAGCCAACAATGCCTCAGTGGTACCCATTGATCCCCCATGATCCCCTTTTCTTATGTTAATTGAGAGCTGATTTGATGAGATAACCACCTGCCAGTAACCACGCAGGGAGGTCTAATCCCTCCTGGCCAAGCTAGTGCAGATATGCTTTAAAAGAAATCAAGAAAGGGGGGTAAAGGGAAAGAACCTTCCATGCTGTCCTCTGTTCCATTTTTCAATGATATATCAATTCTACAAGGAATATATTTTCAGCCAGGAACAATTCTTTGGAATGAAATCATGTAGATCTATCTTATTGAAGCATCTAAAGACCCAATCATGCGCAGTCACGTCTACCCTGCGCCCACGCCAAGATGAATCTCCCCGCTTTTCTCATGAATCAGGCGGCGACGTCAAAAAATAGACGGTTTGCTATGCCGTTTGGTTTCCAGGTCCTGCGGAGCGGTGTCCCTGGTGCTTGAGTTTCTTATGTTAGAGAAGTCCTGGCGTGGCTAAAAATAAAGTCGGGCCCTCCTCCCCCTTCCTTCCTGCCCTTCATGCTGCTTGCGCTCACAGAGAGAGGGAGCCAGAGCGGGCATCACTCCTCACCTTCTCCGCTTTCTCTCTGGCACATCTCAACATTTTCAGCATTATTTGCAAGGTCTTCTAGTTAGTGTTCACACCATCATAATGGCCAGTGTCCCTGTTTCCTAGAAAAACTAGTTTTTCTTCAGTTTATAGCTCCATCTGCTTTTCTCGTTGGCTAAAAGCAAAAGAAATGTATTGCATTGGAACATCCTGACTCTATTTGCAAACCTTTTAGAGTTTGTGCATATAGTTCCAGATGGGGGAAACCAAACTGATAGGTATATTTTCTCTTTCAAAAAGAGGAAGATTAAATTCTGTAATGTAGTTAAATATGATTTGCTAGATTGAGTAAAGGCATCCTCCAAGGAGATTCTGTTCAACTTTGAGTGCTCTCATTTGGTTTGAACACATACCTTGGTGCTTCTATCTTATGGTTGGCTGGAATTATGTAAGGGACTTTAAATGACAGTGCCTTTTACATAAAAATGTGAGCATGAACATTTAAAAAGAGGAGGCACGATAGCTCAGTTGGTAGAGCAGTAGTCTCGTAATCCGGTGACCTGGGTTCAAAACCAAGGCGATTAATCCTCATTACCAGGTCCCTCGGAGAGGACCTAAAGCTGTTGGTCCTCTTGTTGCTTATTAACAAGCATTTATGCTTTCTTAGCAATCAAGTAAAATAACCACCACTACGCACAAAAAGCACAATATTTCTTTAATTTTAGAACACTCTATAGCTTTTAATATTGCAATTGAATCATTGAATAATTGTTAGCTTGTGCTTAAAGCTCTCAGTAAGTCCAGTTAACCTTGAAACAACATGCAGGATAATGTAGGTCCAGGTTGGCTTTTCATGAATATATCTGGTTATGCATTATCTCATGTTCATGAACCTGCATTAGTCCTTAATGTAAAGAAGTTTATTTGCAAATGTTACTGCCAATAGCTTAAAGACCGTCAATACTACTGGGCCAGAAGAGATTAGACCACACAGCGAGGTCACTGACAGGTGGCTATCTCATTAACTCAGCTCTGAACTAACATAAGAAAAAAAGGATCATGGGGGACCAACAGGCACAGATTGGGGAAGTTTTCCATATAGAGGGAGCAAGTAGCTACAAGTAGGACAGTGGGGCTTTAAGGATTATTACACATTTCTTGTTACCATTATTATGTGCATATTATTGTTTCATTCACATTTATTATTGGCATGTATCACACAATTTTGTTTTGTAATATGTATCCCATTTATGTTTTTGCCAACATTTTTTATTTCGCTTGCCAAGTTACTGCTTGTTTGAATCTAAAGAAAAAAAAAGGGCCAATGGGGTTTAAATATTTGGCATACTTGAGCATCCCTGGTGAAAAAGACATCAATCATTATTTGCTTTTTCTGTTTGTTTGTTTTATTTGTATGCTTTCCCCCACCCCATCTCTCGCTATATGTTGGTCACATCAACTCACTCCCTGCATGACTCATCCCCGCTTCTTCCCCTCCCCCCCCCCCCCCCCCTTCCCCACCTCACGGTACCCATCTGCTGCTCACCTACCCCTGCCTGCATCCTGGTTGCATGTTTACCCGAAGCAGAGCCGCATGTGACAACTGTGACTGTGCCCAGGGACAGGGGCAAATCCCCTGGAGGCTTGGGGCCTCAGGAAGATGCAGGTACCGCTAACAGTTTTATTGCAATCCCTTCAAGAAACTCATTTAATTGTTTACTAAAAGATTAATGGTTTGCTTAAAGGAACTAATCAACAATAATTGTTTTGTGCTAGTAGCCTGTAACATGAATTTCTACTTTTAACATTATATCTGTGAAGAAATATTGCAAGCTTAGAAAACAAATTCACTTCTTAATAAGAACAAAGTGTCTTGTGCATGGACAAACCAATATACTCATTCTGGTTCACCTAAAATTTTGCACACAAGGGAATTTCCTTGAGGGCCTTGATGTGTATGAAATATTCCTTTTTTCCTTCATTGTATATGATTGTTAAACATATCAATGTCTCATATAGTTTTATTAAGTGCATTTCATATCTGCTAATATTATTCCAATCGTAAAGTTTTTTGGTAAACATTCTCCTTTAACAATGCCGCACCCACCCTTAATTTACAATCATGATTATACGGAGAACCTCTCAATGACATTCTGAACTTAATAGCTTGGATATTAAAATTTAGCAAAAACAATCCCTGAACGATATAGATAATTACTGATAATATAACCTTTAACCCTTACAAGTATTATACCAATCAAATAAAAACAGTTATCTTTGCATGTTTTCACCTTAATTTACCAACATTGCCAAGAATTAACTTTTCAAACGTGTGCCTTCTATTGTAAATTCAGCTAGTGTTTATGTCTACACCATTATGCACTAACCAAAACTAATTTCTCTAAATGCATGACATTGATAAACACTTTTGACTTTTGTTTCTGTAAGTCTGATTACAATCAAAGCCTCTTCCTTTTGAGTAAATTTTCTACGTTTTTGAAAATCAATAAGACATCTTAAAGGGATAGGGTATCTTTGCCTCATATTCTTAAAAAAAATCCTGGACTTAGCTCATGCTGCAATCATGATTATAAACCTTTAGGTCAGTCAGGAATCCCATGACTTTTACAAGCTGATCGCTTGTCTGATTATCAAGATAGTTATGATTAGAACTAGAAATGTCGAAACCGTTTGCCGAACGGTTTTTAACAACACTACGGTCTATCGGGTATGAAAACGAGTATGGTAAAACCGATCACTCAAAGATTTTGTTATCATTTTGAAGCGCAATTTTTTTTAGGGCTTCAATATCACACCATATCACAGACTCTGATATAAACACGTAGGGCCAAGCATCTCAGATTTGTAAAGCTGGAAACATTGTTACACAATGCCTTTAAGCCTCATTCAGATATGCTGTGGTAAATAGCAGCACATAATAAAAATTTATGATGATGTGTAATACACTTCACATTTCTGTATCTTATAACACAGAGCTAAGTGAATACACGTAGGACTTTACTTGCGCGCAGTTGCTATTAATTTACATGTTAAAACAAAATCGCTGTTTTTGTCAGGCGTTTTACCGTGTCATATCTAAAGAAGCCATAATTGCGGCCAGAATGTATGACAGCGTGTAATTATTGCCCCAGTCAGTCTACAGTGACTCTTCATGCTATTGTTCTTGCATTGATATCACTATGCATGAATACATTGTCTGTAATACATCTGTCATCAAACACCAATTATTTGATTGCATTTACTTGTCTGTCATTAACAATTCTAAACTCACATCCTTCGTGAATCTGTTCTTCGTGCCTATTTGGCGTCCTAGTACTACTACACTATTCCCCTGTGTATACATGTATGTCATATTTTGTATGTTAAAACAGCAGTCTTTCCTTTGCTACTTGTATATCTGTGTTCTACTGTTTTATTCAAGACTTGTTGTATCACCCCTTTATGTTCCATGCCTTTATTCTCTTTTTTTATTATATTGTTTTTCTCTTTATATTGATTAATTTCATCCACGTTCCAATTCTTGGGTGTGCTCTCATTTCTTTCTCTATTTTCATTCTGTCGTGTCACTGTTTGACTGTATTGACGATAAAGCAAAATAAATGTGTGTACCATTACATTACATCCTGCTAATTTACATGTAATCAGTAGTCTCTTATTCAGTTTACATGTAGCTTTAGAAATATATTTTTCATGATAGTTCTTATTTTTGAAAATCTCTTGCTTCATAATAGCTTAATCCAATTTTATACTATTATTTATACTATACTGTAAGAAAATTAAATAATTTGAATGTTTTTATATAATTTTTAAGGAATTATATTTGATTTAAATGTAGTAATATATTTTTTTTATAAACAATACTTCCTTGACAATAGACTTACAATACCAGAAGCATCATAGAGATAGTTAGGTGTTCATTTGTCGCAAGTGCTTTCATGTCGTCATAGGTCATAATTAATAACAGCTTCCTCTCCTGCGGTTAACCTATAAGACCAATCACTGTATAAAGCCTGTCTGGTTGCTACTTTGTTAATCACCTGTCATCTCTCTCTCTCTCTTTCTCTCTCTCATTCTCTCTCTCTCTTCTCTCTTCTCTCTCCTCTGCCATTGTCGACCTACAGGAAATACATACTTTCATGTGCCGACCTCGAACATGAACCCGGTGTCGCCCAGTGGAGGAGGGGGCAACAACAACCACCTCCCTCTGAAGGCCATGGTCAAGCAGCCTGCCCCAAGGCCAAACCTCAAGGTCGTCATACCAAGCTCAAGAGGGAACATACCTAATGTGAGTCCAAAGGTCTCAGGACAGCAAGTGGAATTGAAAGGGTTTAATTATAATAACAATAACAACAATATCAACATACATGAGAAGAGTATTCCTGTAGCGTATTTTCCACTTGGATGTTCAGATGCTTTTCATATATATATATATATATTTTTTTTTTCTTATAAGCTGTCCAGTCATGAATTTGTGTGTCTATTAGCCTGTTTTCTGTAAGCAGAATAATTCCTTAAAATATGCCAGGTTTGTAATCATGACTGCTTGTTGGCAACCGCAATCATGATCCTTTTTTTATGATATGAGAAGTGACATACCAATAAAATACCCACAGAATAAGATAATCGCTGGTGGTTATACAACCCTTTGCTCTATCTTACCTGTAAATCATTGTCTGTCATTTCTGGCAGAAGATGTTGCGAGGAAATATGAAACGTGTAGATTGATGATGTGTGGGATTCATCTATTTTTGGACAGATAGGAAGTATAGATGAAAGAAACCATACAATAGTTTTTCATTGTAAGGCTGCTTCTAAAAATCACTTAATTCATAAACATGTTATCATGTTGTGAGTACTTTCTTAGATACAAGCTATCTAATCTACCAAGTGTAGGACTGACACTCGTTTTTTACAGGCAGATAAATCGTGAATCCTGCTTTTGCGAGTACGAGACACGACTCTTTATGTACTGAATGCTACATTATACCACTGGAAGGAAAATTACAATCGCTTGTTATTGAGACTAGTTATGACATATGTTTTATGTACCCATATGTACCCTTTTAATAAAAGAAAGTACCTTTGATTTAATGTAGTATTTTATGTAGTATTTCATATATAAATCATAATTCCATTTCCTTTACTTGAGAATTTCCCTTCTGAAGCATTTTATATAATAATAATAATAATCTTTTAGTCCACTCCGAATTACTGGTTTATGTGCTGAAATATTACTACATGATGACAATTCTGATTTTGTTTGTTGTGAATTTATGAATGCTCAAGCATCCAGTATTTTTATTGTCAGTATAATGTATCCTATCCTTTCATTCCAAGTCAAAAAAGTAAGTGTACTGAAAAGCAACTACCCTTTATTATTAATCAAATAATTAATGTGTGATGTCTCTGTTTTGTTTACATCTTTACAGCATGCTGCAGCAGCCCAGTTAGCGAATCAGCCGTTAGCGACGCCAGCGGTGTCCCTGGCCACGCCTAGCAACCCACAGGGTCTTGCCAACTATCCGTCGTCGTTACCTACGGCATATCAAACGGGTAGGTTGCATCATCCTAGTCAGAAGGGCATTAACTCCTATCATTTAACACATAGTTAACACCCTTCTGGCTCTCAACAAATTTAGGGAATTTCTTTGATGGCAGAAGGATGTTAATCTGAAATATTATGAAGAGCTTTCCATTTGTTTAAAATGGTGTTTAAAATCCTAATGTTTGAAGTAGTGCCAAAGGTGTGGTTCTTAGAAAGAAAAGAAAAAGAATGGTTGTTCCAGTAAGAGATACCTCATCCTGTTGCCCATTAAAAAAATTGTGTACCTGTGTAAACTATGGAGAACAAAAGGAGGTATTCATAAGTACATCTTCCTGTTGACTTGTATAGTGAAGAATACCATTATGCAGGGAGATAAACTCCTCAAAGGGGCTTTTTATGGGAGATGGAAGAATGATCAGCTGTAAGAGCTTTATACCAAGTATAGATAATCTCACAAAAAGGGTATATCATACCATGTTTCCATATGTTAAAGCGTACAAGTGACACTGATAGTTAATTGGTGTGAACGTCCCCATCTTGGACAGTCATGACTCTGTCTTCACATGTATGCCTCTCTGTAGTGTGTGTGCAAGGACGATCAATGGAAATGATTAGTTTGGATACATTTCCCCCCGAAAGGGCTTGTGACTTGAATCACCCATTATGGTGGATACATGTCATTTCTATATTGTACATGGAAGAGTGGTACTTCCAGAAAGTTTCCTAAAAATCAAAAGCTACACACCACACCAGTGTAAATCCTGCATTAGGAACGATAATCCTGTCTGCTTCGCTATATTGGTATGGTATTTTGAAATCTAACATCAATTTGAAAAACTATGTGTATAAAAAATAATAAAAAATTGAATAAAAAGCAAAATTCTATAAATTCTATAGATATAAATATTGCATGAATCAAAATCAGAAACTTAAAATGTGGTCCAGATTCACAGAAGTTTCATGACACATAGAAATAATCAAAGCTCTCCTTCTTTGCATTTTTTAAAAGCTTCTTGCCATGATATTAAAAGGGTCGTTGTATTGCCTTTTTAGTTCTCAGGAGACAATATTTTACTCATTTACTAGTATGCAAACACGTACATGTAGATGTATTCTTCTACAAACCCTTGCTACTTATCAAATTACGGGAAATTATCTTTTGTTTGACTATTACTATTTTTACCGTAGATTTAATGTTACCCTCATGATACTCTCCATGGTGATGGAACTTGTAATGTTTAATGAAGGGAACTGTCGCAAAAAAAAATTAAAAAGCATTTATGGTAAGGTTCATGTATCATTTTGTTCAGCATTTAATAGGGTTAAATGACCCTGGATCTGGTGCTTGATATAGCACGAAAAATCTATCTTATTATTTCTGAAGGACCGAGTTTAAAATTTCTCAGACTTCCTGGTACCATTCTATAGCTGTCAGAATGTGTTAGTCTCAAACAAATATGTACACTGAAAAAATACATACTATCTCTATACCTTTACACAAACACAAGGGAACACCCCCCCCCCCCCCCTCCCCATACCTGACATGTTATTGTAAGGGTAGCGACGCGCCGTTATTCCCCGCTTCCCCTCTCATAATGGGGTTATCCTTCCTTTTGGAACCCACGCTCGGAACCGGGACGCCCCAGCCTTACGTGAGTCATGGTGCTGCCATGCGGGGGCTGATATTCACTGTGCACTGCCAAATTTAAAGGGCATGGTCAGAAGCTTCCCAAACAATTGTTTTATTTGTATTTTTAACTCTTTTACTTTCAGGGCCCGTAACATAAAGAGTTATCCCCCTTAAAAGACATTAAAATAATCATACCACCTCCAATCTATCATATCTTTTCGATTACAAACTTCTTGTTCTGACTAGTTTTGGATTCCATGTCGGTATACTATTATACCAAATATCAGTTTAAATATTACCTCTATGATTGTACTTCTGTAAAGAGAACTTGCTTATGAAAATACTCCTTAAAGCCCCACTGTACTACTTGTAGCTACTTGCTCCCTCTATATAGAAAACAATGCCTTAGCGGTACCCGTTGGTCCCCCATGATCGCCTTTTTCTTATGTTAATTGAGAGCTGAGTTGATGAGATAACCACCTGTCAGTGACCACTCTGGGTGGTCTAATCCCTCCTAGCCAAACTAGTACAGATGGCCTTTAAAGCCTATAAATGAATACTGATTACATAACTTACATGCGCACGATCCGAGTATTCGTCTCAATGGTTTTACAATTTGGGTACGAATGACCTTGATCTGCCCATGCGCAAATCCTAATTACGAACTCGCTTATTAAATGAAGCTAAGAAGAAAGACTATGAAGGCTTATTGAAATAAGAATTGATAGCTTCAGGTATAATGATGTTGATTCACAGGCAGTAGGGTAGGTTAGTCAATGTGCCACTGAACTTGTCCTTCTTTCATCATGATTCAGTGAGCATTCCAAGCATATTAGAGACTAAATCTGGTTGGAGATGAGGAGGAGGCGTTTGTGACCTTTCCATGTTTGAAAATTGCCTTGAAATCTCACGTAACAGCCTCTTCCTTATGTCTAAGCTGATCTTTATAACACACATTTTCTGTTAGTTTACATGTATAAGACCTTGGCGGATTCACCAGGTTTATTCTCTCTCTCCTGCTGTATCACACACCCTTCTTTTTCTCTTCCCCATATGCCTTTAGATAAGGAATTTTATATTGTCTCTTCTAGTGTATGTACCCTTTTATATCTTTCTATAATTTGTTGACTTGAAGTTTTAGTAATGACTGAAGGCTTTATTGGAAAGCAAGTTCCCTGTGTCACATATGTAGCTGTTTTTAAAAGTGTTTAGAAAAGTGTTCAATAATTGTACCAATATAGTTCATTATGTTTCCTGTTTTGCTATATGTCCACGTAACAGAGGAGACATAATGGCTCAGTGGTAGAACAGTGGTCTCCTAATCGGGAAACCCCTGGTTCAAATCCAAGTCAATGAACTAGTGATTTTTGGTAAGGCATGATTCCCTGGAATACATGGGTAAGACTTATAACTGTAGCCCCACTTGTACCTAGTCTAAAAAACAAACATTTGCCGTAACGTAACGTAAACATCAGCATTAAGATAAATGAATTTCTTATCTTATTTTTGTTTTTTCAGGTGGGGAATTTCCCCTTACCAGTGCAGACCTAAGCCAGCTGACCAACTACAACTCCCCGCTGCTGTCGGGCTGGAGTCATCTTCAGCAAGGCCCTCTAACGGCTGCTATCCAAGCTGCTGGTATAGGCAGTCATAACCTGTAAGTATATTATACCATCCCTCCCTTCCCCCTCCCTATCTGCCTCTCCCCCCCCCCCCCCACTCCCCTTCCCTACCCTCTTTCCTCCCCCTCGCTCTTCTTTCCCCTCTTTCATTCCTTTTTAAAGATGCCTCCTAATGTCCCACAAGAACGTTCTCCTGACAAAAGAATATGTCAATCTTCTTTTTACTATGGCTACCACATGATGTTACCAGAATAAATGGTGAATGTTGAATTTGTCATTAGCTTTCTTAAACTAGTCTCTCAAGTGCACTACAACGATGGACATTTTTTGTTTTTATTTCTCTTTGATGTTCAATGTCGACAATTGCAATAGGCAAGGATACTATGTAGAAAGTTGTTTTAATTGTGCCAAGATGATTGATTGTCGTGAGACATTTTTTTATACCATGCCATGTTATCCTATATTGCAGGCCACCCTCTACATCGATGACGCAACACCAACATGAGCGTGTGATGGAGATGGAGCAGTCGATGAATCCTAACATCAAGTGTGAGCCGGTCTCACCACCCAAAGAGAGAAAGATGATGCATCCACAGGGTCACCCGCAGCAGCAGCAGCATCCTGGTAGCTCCCCTTCCCACTATCCAAACCCTGAGGATATCCGCAAAGACCTTCCGCCCAGCAAAAGACCTCGCATCAGCGAAGCCTGGGTATCGTAAGGTCGGCCCGTCCAGGTTTTCAGCACAACCTCATCGGACGCAGGGGAACAAAAGAGGGAGAGAGAGAGAGAGGGGGAAAGGGACAACCCCATTTCCGAGCCGAGTCGCTGAAACTTGCTGAAATCAAAAGGGACTTGTCCATCATATTTGTTAACCTAGTGTGAAGATATGATATGAGATTTAAAGAAAGATGGACGACTTCTTCTGCACCATTTTCCACCGCACCAAGTATGCTAGCTCGGCATTTGTACACCACACACACGCATGATTGTTGTCACATTTTAGTTTCTTTTGTGTGAAACCTTACAGATGTTGGATGTGCCAACATCTGGCTCTACATTCAGATCAAAGATATAGACAGAAAACCTAACTGAATGTTCTTCATACACGTTTGCACACACCTGTTACATCAAACTCTCAGCACTGCTAGAGGAAACTTTGCCTGCTTTTACAAAGGATGCTATGATAAGGATATGGAGAAAATTAAGGACAATACCCTTTAAAAGTTGCCACCATTTTTTGTAAAATGAACTTTTAAAAAAAATACATTATAAACAATTGTAATCTAAACAAAATGAAATTTGAATTTTATCTGCACCAGAGGCATTAATGACCCCAGAAGATTCTTGACATTTTTATTATTTCATCCATACATTTCACATATTTTATCAATATTTAATTTTATTGTCAGCTTTTGTTTGTCAGCAATGAATTTAAAAGCGAATCTTGTAGACTATAAGCCCCTGCAAGGTTCATATATTATTTCAGAGTCTTCCCAAGTATTATTGATGGGTTGAACTTTCAAAACATGTTTTACTTTAGGTGTTATTTTAATGAGGCAAGTGGCCATGAACACTCTTTAATCCTGTGAGATTATAGTGCACACATCCCATATAAGGCTTGCATATATGAATAACGTAGAATTCTTTTGCGCTCATATTCATACTCATTTTAAAGCATCCTTTCTTCTTGTGTCACGTAGAAGAATATGAACGATCTTTGAGTAGATATTGATAGAATGAGAGGGATGAAAAGTCTTGCCTGCAGAAATAAGAAGCAGGCGATAAAGAAATCCAACTTAGAAAGTAAGAAGACAGCTCCACACCAAGGAGAGGAAGAAGAAATTACCTGTAGATATGTGTTATGGAATACTGCACCCCCTCCCCCTCCCCCTCTCCCTTCCTCCGCATGCACTGACCTTATGAAGGGTCAATATTATTTCACTTGTTCACCCTGATATGCTTGGGAAGAACGAGGGAATTTTTTAATTTTGCGTGGTTGAGGTTTCAAAGTACAGCACTCTTTTTTAATGTCCAATCACACATCTCTGTGCATATTTAAAACGAAAATTGATTTTCTTTTACATAATATGGTTCTGGCGGTGGAAAATGAGTCAGAAGTAGTCAGTCAGAGGAGAAAATTATGGAATATGGGGTAAATGCTTTATATTATATATTTTGATATTGAAAATATATATTGTATCTTGTGATGTGCTTGTCCTTATGTAGAAAAAATTGCACTCTGTATGTCATTGGAGCATTTGCTTCGACAATTTGATATCGTGTTTTGTATGAAAGCGTGTGAAACTTGGGTAACGAGCATCAACGCAAGACCATTCAGCGGCCTTGTTGGAGAGAAAGCCATTCTTCAGAAAAGATATTCATAGTGGAGATATTTTTGGAAGATTACTGGGGCGGAATTTACAATATATAGTGCAGTTTTATCTACACATTATTGTGTGTGTGCGTGTGTGTTTTGTGTAATCTCAGTGATTTGATCTATTGTAGAATAGCTGGAGATTGTTAAATAAAAAAAGCATCTGCACGAATCCATCTACTGTTGAGCAGTGAGTATGTGTTCGTCTTGTACAAAGCAACGAAAAAAGAAAAAAAAAGAAAAATGATAAGTTACTATGTATAAGAAATGAAAGGACTACATTACAATGTTGAGCTGCTTATGTTGCAAGATTTTTATAAAATCTCCTTTTTTCTCTTCATGTGTTTTGCTCCCTCAGTTAAGTGGTATAATTGATTTTGTTACATTATAAAAATGTACATAAACCGCCATTATTGTCGACTTCTGTCTTCACTTCAATTTCATTGAAATATTGTAGATTTGCTCATTGTTGATTTATATTGATTTTATTCACAGCTCAAATGATGTGATATTATTAGAAGCAGCTGGATTACTATAGTATTATTCACTGAAAATCACCCATATTAAATGCACATACAAGTTGTGCTGGTGTTAAGACCAGCTGTTAAAGCAAGATAAGATGGAGGAGTTTGCTTACTTTTGATTTGCAAAAGAGGACTGAAATACGCCGCTGTGTATACATAAATTATCTTGTTTACGTACAATATTCATAGAGTGAATTTATTAATTGATGAAATTTGTTGTACAAATGCGTTTTGAAAACAAGTGGTATCGGATAACTACCTTTTTGTAGAGTAATGAAATTACCAAAGTGAATTTTATGTAAAGAGAGAAGAAGAATTGTGATGAATACAATGGCACAGCTTTGTTAATAGCAGATCAGAACTATATTTAGTAATAGTAATAGAGGGGTTTTATCGCTTGTAACATATCTTTTCAAAAAATCGATTTCGAGACTTCTATATTTTCCTCAACTGTTTTTTTTTTTCATCTTTTTTTGAAAAGCAGTCTCTATAAGTGAATGAGATCTATTTATGTACATATATCGTGACAAATGAACTGAGAAATGATTAACAAAAGAGATAGAATATCCTTTTTGAAAGATTTTATAAGAAGATTGAAAGTCTTATGTACAGTATGTACAGAAATTTCATCTTTACAACTGTGTTTGGAAAAATAGATTGCTTATCAATATTATCTATGGTGTACATGTCAGATATGAGTTGAATACATACATGTACATGTTGTAACTCTATGGCACTGTGTCTGCTTTTTGGTTGGTTATTACTATTATCTTGTAGATAACTTGTTTCATTTTTGTGCTTTAGCATTCTTTACCATGACTTTGTCAGTGTGTTTTATTTTTGTTGTTATTGTATTCCTATCCATTTTTTTACAGTGTGATTCTTATTCCGTTATAGAGTTTATTTGTATTCTTATTCAGGTACAATACCAAGATCTGTCTTGTTTTTGTTTTTGCTCACTTCCCCAACGACAGCCTAGATTGAATTGAATCACCCCCTTTTGATTTCTTCCTCTTTGTTTTGTTTTTTGTTTTTACTCTCTTTTTTACTCTCTTAAATGTAATCGTGTTGCTACCTCAATTGTTGAAACAAACGGATTTTCATTCTCTTTTTAACATGTTGAGGGAAAAAAATGGTCAAATTTCATATTCTATGTTCTGAGGATTTCCTTGACAAAATTAAGAAAAACATTTATGAAAGATCGAACATATCAATTAAATACAGATGTATGAACAACACTTTGTAATTGTAAGAATAGCAGTGAATACAGACATACTAAATGTTTTTGGCTTGCACTCGTTGGAGTAAACTGCAAGTATGAACAGAAACAGAAAACCAAATAGTTCACTTATTGGTAGACAAATTGTTTAGTTCTTGATATTGGTCCTTTCATATCTTCATAATAAATCCTCCAGGATAGCTATCTAACCCATGCCTATGTATCATAACTGATCTCAATGAAACATCCCAATGACGTACGTTGATACAATCATCTTATTCTGTTAAGAGGTATAATTCATGTACTTTTTAAAGTTCTTTTCCTCAAAAATCTGTTATGCAAAATTCTACTTGTTTCACCATTAATTTGGATATTGCATTAATCATCTTGATGTTTTCATTTCCTTTATCCAAAGATGTATATTTTTTAAAGGTAGACATGAATATTGAAATAGTGACCCAGGATTGGTGATTTGTGGCGGATCAGGAGAACACACTCCCTTTGGTGGAAACATATCCCACTATTAAAATAATGAACCTACAAAGAGTTAGAGAATCAAGTCATCCCAGTTTATTAATTACCTCCTGTAATTTTTCTTACAGGTATATATAGGTAGAAAGGGATAAAACAAAATCTCCACATTGATACAAAAAAAATACATTCTTTCTTATAACACAGAAAGTGAAACTCAGTTAGTGCATGATGGCTCTTATTCCTACTTAAAACTCTCTCTTTGAAAGGATATAGAAATTGAATTTACAGGAGGTACTACTGTTGAGAAAAAAACTCTGTCTTTTTATTTTGCCATTGTTGTCCAAACGTCAAGTATAAACACGTCTGTGCCTTACATGTTGTAGCTGTGTCACTGTGTTTGATGTGGAGCATGTAGTTTGTGACATCTTGTAGGTATTCATTTTCAGAGCAATTGCAGGAATCCTTTGAAAGCCTTTGAAGCTAGGCAGTGGGTGTCAGTCACACACTTAATCACCTCTACAGGGTAATTTAGAGGTTGCCTGAAGAAGCCATATATGCTCAGACGTTAACAAATAAAGTTTCATAATTTCCTTGGCAGCACCAGAGCCATCTTTACACATAGTTATGCCTGTTCAGTTTCAGGTCGACACAACATTGCGCATGTTTTTTCGATTTGTGCTTGCTCAATACTGAAATCAACATGTGCCATGATGTTAACCGACTGGAACCAAGTTGGCCCAAGTCTGTGCATAGATGGCTTTGGGCATTACAAACTGCTCTAACACTCACAAAAGATGCAATGGCCTATGTTTGATAGGTTGATGTATAGCGTTGTATGTTTTCCTGAGGGAGACGAAGTAAGCAACAACCAGAGAAGGCATATTCTGTAGTTTTGTTAAAATTAGTCCTTGCATAGTGTCCTTGTGTTACCAAGTGGTCGGTAAGAATGTGTGTCGTTGCGTCCTTTAAGGGATAACTATGTCGTGAATTTCTGTCAAAACTCACCTATTGCACGTTAAATATCACACTTTTCTCTCTCTCTCTCTCTCTTTCTTTCTCTTTTTTTTTTCTCTCTCTCTCTCTCTCTCTCTCTCCACTTCTCTATCTCTTGTTCACTATCCTGAGTTACACATTGGGAAGAACTGCAAAGTTTCGTTGTCCTGTAAAGCAAACCCACTAGATTGTTAATTTGATTTTTGTAAATCTCTTCCATGATGTTTTTTTGGTAGGGATAGGGTTATATCCATATTGCTTACTAGAGTTTCGTACAAAGGACCAATACAATCTTGATATATGATACGTCTCATGTTCTAACCCTTGTTTAATATAGTTGTAACTCAGTGTAGTTCCCAGATGTTGTTTAATCGTAGCTGAAACAAGTTGATATTAACGTTCAGGTTTTGCTGAAAGGAAAAAAGGACATAAGCAGAAATCTGACATGATTTTTATATCATTTTGATACAAATGTTTTAACACCAAGTGGTTGTTTAATCTTATATGATTCCTTTTTACTCATCAAGTTCATAGTGAACTAATTTTTCTATCATGTTTTCACGTTTTATTAATGAAATAAAAGTTGTAGAACATCTCTGGACAGTTGATCAGTATATAAAAAGCTTAGCTCACACAAAAAGATCATGACAGAAGACATGATGATGATGTCTTCAAGCTAAAGTGAACATTAATTAAATCCATGAATCATGTGTTTAAGATAATGGTTACATATCAACTTCAAGATGCAAAGCTTTGTACATTTTTTGCAGTTGGTCTAACTGTATCTAGATGTCTGTCTGTGTTTTTGATAAATAAATGCAAGAAATGTATGAAAATGTGGAAATATACATGTGCATGTGGATTTTCATTGCACCATAAAAGAAGAATTATGTGCTGACCTGGCTGTTTGTCAATTTATTGGAAGTCGCTCTTCTTTTATATCCAGTATAAGTAGACTTGTTTAAATATTTGTCGAAGCGTTACTGCATAGATGTTTTCGTAGGGTAACTAGCGATCCAGTATTACAGCCAGTGTGTAGTACTAATTGGATGGAAAAAATATATATTTTTGTTGACTATACAAATGAAATTTTAAAGAGATGATGCAGGATGACCATGCTATTCTGTATCGTTGGTAACCTCACAGATTTTAAAGAAAAGATATGAAAAAATATTTGAGTGCAGATAGTTTTATGTATGTTTCACAGCCTTTGTATATGTACATTATAATTAATCAGTTGTGGAATTAATTACTATTAAAAAAGATGATTTATCTTGAATCTCAGTTTTGACTTGTGTCGGTCTTTTGTTTATATAGAAGTGTACCGTATGTTTCTTTATTTGTGAAAGTATGTGGAAAAGAGTTACGGTAATATAGTTAACAGACGATTTAAAAAGTACCACATTTTATTTGTGGAGGATAGCCCAAAGAAAGCTAGTTCCTGTTCAGATTCTCCTCACCTGTTTGAATTACAATAGATCCCTCTTCGAATGAAAAAAGTATTATTATTGCAGTTAGAAATTAAAAAAAATCTATTTTTTTATTTTTTAAAAAATTAAAAGAAAGAAACACAAACAGAACATCAGTATATTTTTGAAGGGGGAGAATATCTGTAAATTGATGATAATTATAAAAAGACATAATCATAGTGCAGAGTGAAACTTTGAGATGATGAGAGAGAAATTGGTGAGAGGAACAGCTGTTTAGGAATGAAAATTATTAGAAGGATAATGGTAGAAAAAGGAAAACAAAATAATATAGTCTAATATGCTATAAAAAGGGGGCATAATGTGCAAACACAGTACGGATTGATATATTATACCGGTACTTTGAAAAGAAAGGGAGGGCTTTGGGGTATAATATAACAGAAGAGAGTGATAAACCTTTGCAGAAAAAATAGGGGGGCTAGTATAGTAAGAATACAGACAACAATTAAATGTAAACATATAATATTTTGCCCTTTCACCTTTTTGTGAAAGTTAAGATCGTATATTAGATTTAAAAATGAATATGAAGATAATCATATTGAGCAGAAAAGAAAAAAGGGGCATATACATGTAGGTCTATGCACTATTTACAGGAAATATATGATTTTTCATGCATGTCCTACATTGCTTATAAAGTCTTGCAAAACAAGACTACTCTATATTCCGTATGTGTACCTAGCTTCTGCCTGCAATCGAAATTAGTCAACTAAGCTCAAGTCGAGTAAGATGGCGACGCCCACTGCTCTGTTAGTTTCCTGCTCTCCCAGCATAGACGCTCATAGCATTATGAAAAGTAAGAATAATGTATTGAATTCTCATATATGTATATAGATCTACTGTTTTTCTGTAGAATCGATGTTTCTAGCCATGTTTTAGTTTCGTTCACTTACTATGTAGTCCCACATGTTGACTTTAAACGTTGTGTAAACCATGTAAACAGTCAATGCAGAAAATTTGCCCGAGATCTCCAGGCCTACATGTAGATCTACGCTTTTCTTAAGGGCGCGTTCTGGTGATTTATGAAATATGACATTGATATAACCAAGCCATACTTGGCATACATTAGCCTTTGTGGAGAACTATGGAAACAAAAACATTAATGGCACATTAATGTGAAAATGTAAACATAATCGCAAATTCCTGCACTCAAAGAACCTCGCTAAGCTCTTTGTTCCCAATTTGAACCAATATTTTTGGAAGCCAGTTTTGTTGTCTCAAAGATTTGAGCGCTCGTCCACTAGCGCTGTGACCAAGGATTGCACGCAATGAATATGAAGGGACACTTCGCTCGTCTTCATTTAGGATTGACGATATATTTCCAATTAAAAAAATTTTTCTTCCAACATCATCATTTTATATCAGTGAGTGCGATTGATCATATTTTCCTGCTATTTAGATATCAATTGTCACATAAAGTGCCGATAATGAGTCTGGTGAGTTTTGTACAGTGATTTATGAGAATTTCTAGAATCAATAGAGTGTGTCTTAACTAATTTTTGTCCACACAAAGTATAAGAATGCTGTTTGAGTTGATCCTAGTAGCTGGAAATGGGTGTAACATTTCAGTGTACAAAAAAAAAGGCTCAAGTTTCCAATTTGATGCTGAATTTATGACAGTAGCGATTTGTTTCAAAGGAACAAACACACAGTTTGCTGAGTTCAGTGATACTAAGACTATGGAGCTATTTTTAACATCTTCAATCTACAAATATTTAACAGTTAGCTAACAAATTCCAATGTTTTGATCCAATCTTCCCATCAGAAATCACAGAAAATGATGCTGGAACACCGTTCACCCCCATTGCAGAAGAAGTTGAAGGCTACCCATGGCAGCTCAGCAACAAGTACTACACTGCTGACATCCTGATCTGCATTGCAGAGCCTTGCATCATGGGGTCACTCTCTCTAGGGGAATCCATGGAGGGCATTGTGATTGCTATGGATGATAAGGTACGATCATGAGGGGTCCATCTAATTCATTTCATTCCTATGGTTAGGTTTGGGTTTAAGATTAGGGATGTTAAATAGACAAGGGAATACATTGGGATGGGGGGAAAAGTCTAATAGTTATTCGATTTACAAGCTTGAGTGAGGCTGTAACAGAACATACAGTCATTGTTAAGTTTGATATTGAATGTCATTAAGACATTATGTTTAATCCAATTGAAATAATGGATTACTCAAATAACACTGCTGACATCCTGAGCTGAGTTGCATTGCCAAGCCATTGCCGGGCACTATGGGATCTCTCTCTTTCTGGGAGATCCTGGAAGACATTGTGATTGCTGTGGATGATAGGTATGATGATGAGGGGTCCATTTTATGTTCCCCATGCCTATAGTTTTTATAGGGGTAGGGGTAAGATTAGGGACAGTGAACTTTTTGGGTAAGGCTACATGAGGATGGGAGATTGATGCTTCCTTTTCTGTTTCTTAGCCAGAGTGAAACCTGCAATTGAACATTTAACCTCATTAAAAATATATATTAAAATTCCAGTTTTATTTGTTAACTTGAACTAAAAATATACAAAATGAAATTCGCATTTCCAACGTCTGTGGTAATTTGAAGGGTATTTGCAACCCTTTTGTTTTAAAGATTTAGTACACCTACTCCTTTCATTTTCTTTTCAATGTTCTTGAATGTAGATTCTTAATATTCTTTTGTCTTTGTTTTAAAGAGTTTTCTTTCTGTCTGTCTTTGTTTCATCCCTCTTTCTTTCTTTTTTTTTTTTTTCTTTCTTGTAGAATTGAATAGGGGTCAGAATTTATGATTTTGTCATCTGATGAATGCATGATCACATACTGTTTTCATTTTTTTTAAAAGCTTTAGGATATGAGTTCAATAATTTTAAAATAGTAAATCCACAATGATTTTATATCAGTAACATTTGGAGTATGATCCTTACACAACATGTGAATCTTGTTTATCTTTTGAAACAGGTGGAAAGTTTCAAGACTGCTAAATCTCAGTGGGCCATAGTAAAGGAGATCAACCCAGAAGTCAGAATTCTAGCTTGTAAACAATTTACTAAAACACCAGGTAATTGAAGAAAAAAAGAAGTGGAAACCACCCACAATGTACAATTTTGTTTTGTTCATATTGTTTCAAAGTTTCTGTTTGGATCAGTGGTTTCTGCAATCTGTCTGTACTGAACATGTAGTTTTTGTTTAAAGAATTGTTTAATATCACTGATATATATATATATATATATATATATGTTTCAACTACAATGCAAGAAAGTAATTCCTCAGGAATAAACCACATACATGGCCAGATCTGGATCATGTGAAAATCAATACATTATTAACTACATTAAGATGTAGCAATTTAGTTTTACAGGTGCAGATTGATAACAATTATACTTTTCTGTTCCTTGTCTTTAGGAGTGTCAAAGCAAGTCATCTTGGAGTGGTGCCTGGAAAATAGCTTTGAGCTGGTGGAGTTAGAAAGGCCCGAGAATGAAGATGATGAAGAAGAAGATGGATTTGGTAAGTAATCAACTCATTAGCTTCTTAACACTTCAGTTGATTTCTTCTCCTATCTACATGGTTGCTTGTTTGCCATATGTGCAATTTTCCACAAAAGTGCATGCACCAGTTAACAGAAAAATTGCTTTGTGCAACTTAATGGCTTTGCAGAATTACCCATTTCTGGTCTTGACAGCCCTTTTATGACCGGTAGGTTAATCATGCACTGGAAAATGTTAAATAATCTTGAAGCCTTTCATACATCTATCTTATGATAAATACAATGTGGCACAAGGAGATTATTTGTGCTGCATATAAAGACTTAACTACCCAAAACCACCCATCATATTACTTCATGAACTGCCTGAGGTGGCTCACAAACTATATTTATGTACTCTATCTACTTAAGCAGCTGGAGGTATAGCGCCATCCTGTGGGCATTATTTAAGTAGATTCTGTGTGTAAAACATTGTGTTACAATGAACAGTTAAAGCATACATGTACATGTATGTAACCATGTAATATTTTCTGCAATTATCTATCTTTTAGTGAGTAAAACGCCTTTAAAAAATGCATTTACCGTAGGTTAAACATTATAATGATAATATGCAATTACATAGATAAGCTCTGTGATTATGAACATATGGGTGTACTTTGACTAGAGCTTCTATACTATACATATAGCTATGTCTGTTTGCATGAGTTTTCTACTCATTTTGATTGGAATATGTATAAATAGGCAAGTGCTTGAAAGCTGGTAGAGTTTTCAAGTCTTCAGGTATGTCTGAAAAAGGATCAGCTGTATTGAAATATGGATATAAAGACAATGTTTGTAGTTTTACTATAATTTCTGCCATTTAGAGTACACTTTCTTGCAAATCTAACGTAGCAACAGGAAGCCAGCAGGATATAAACTTTACTTCCGTTCCTGTAAGCACAGTGCTGTATCTCAATAATGAGAGAATAGTTTCCTATTCCAGGTTCTTAGCCAGGAAGGTATCTGGTGTTTTTTTTCATATGAAAGATGCACTATCATTTTTCTTTAATCCAGTTCATTATTGGAAGGTTGTTTTTGGAGACCCTAATTTTCAATAATGACACCCAAGTTTTTGAAATCCTGGCCTGTTGCAGACAGTTTTCATCATTTTGTTTGCATTCTATGCTGGCATCTTGCAGCCCTGACTGAGTGATCAACATGCAGTGACAAACTTGTATATCTTATCTTTCCAGGTGTAGAGCCGTATGGTGTGGAGAGGATAGTCTCAGCTTTGCATGCACACACATGGTCCAATCTAGAGATGAAAGGTAGCTATCATTAGTACAACAAATAATCATTTGCTTCCTCAAGATTCAAAGCAATTATTCAGAGAAGTTCTAAATAGACATTTATTATAAGACCGTACATTCATGTATCAGTGATTAAGTTCCTTCTACCGAAAATACTCCATTCCTGTAACCCTTTCAGGTCCAGAGGCAACAAATCCCATGACCCCTTGTAAGGTTTTCATATGCAATACATTTTGTATAGCTTGTCTTTCTGTGAATTACATATGAAGGTACATACTGTATGAAGGGCAGTCATATGGAACACATTTGTATCAATACGTACTGTGAAGAAAAGGTCATGTATTTTACACTCTTACCATCTGTCCTATTATGTTAGTGTTAACACCATTCCCTTCTTTTATGGCACCTGGCAGAAATGCTCCCCAGGGAGTGGAGAATATGGATACATTGTGCATGGGCAATCCTGAATTGGAGGACTAGGGGAATAATATACCTGTGAAGCGTATGTAGACACTGTAGATATATGAAGTGCTATAGAAACCCAGAATATTCTAATGATTGTATTCTCCATCTTCTTGCTCTGTAGATGACAATGGATCAAACTTGTTGAGACTTCAAGAGAGATTTGGAGAGAATGACAACAGAACTGAATCAGAAAACCACACGTCTTCCAATGATGCCTCTATGCAAGGATATATTCCTCTCTGTGGGATGGATGAACTCAGCTCACAAGAGTCTCAAAATTCCCAAACGGAACAAGACAACTCCCAAACAGAACAAGACAATTCCCAAACGGAACAAGACAATACACAAACGACCACAGAAAACGCTGAATCAGCTTCCGCAGACAATGATAATGTGAGGACTACTACATCTACCAGTGTTGAGGGAAGGAGGAAAAACGATGGTGGGGTTCGGGATGCTGGTAGTCATGGCAAAAGCAATGATCCTCAAGCATCATCTGGGGCAACGAGTGCACTTCCAGAAGGAGCCGACGCCAGTGCGAGTGATGCAAAGCCAGAGAAAGCTAAAAAGGAAGCTACAGCTGGTCCTGATAAAATAGGTAAAATGTTTGTTTCCTGGTCAATTGTATAATCTTTCATATAAATGTGAATTAGGGCTCAGATTAAAAAAGATTGTTAATGGCAAGTTTGAATGTAAGCTTCTTGGAGAAAATTCATCATATTCTCAAATAAAAAACAGTGTTTTCAGAGTAAACAGTACATTTTTTTTAATAAAAAATGTACTTTCATAGGCTGTGAATTGTGAGTGCCTTTTGCCATTTTTGACATCAGAAACCACAGCTTCACCCAAATCAAACCTACTACCAGAAAATAGAAGTAATATATTCAAATCATAAATGCCACCGCTGAGACAGTCACTGGGATTCTGTGACATATGCTCCAGTGATAATTACTCTGCGGTTGAGAGGCTACACAAAGTGCATTCCTCAATTCGACCCTTGGCCTGGGACTATACCCAACGTAGAGCTCCTCACTAACTTTGTACATAGGACATTGGAGTTAGGGTCTTATCAATGGGTCCCCTATTCATTTTTTTTTAATTTCTGGGTTCCTGACTTAGATTTTGGGTGCCAACATGTCCCAGGCACCAGTAAGTGAAATCTAGGGTGAACTAAAACCTACATTCAGTCCTTACCAACCCAACACAGTAATTGTATGTCTTTGATGAAATAAACCGCGGAACAAATGTAGGATCGTTATTAATGGATGATGGAGCAATCATGTTGCAGTGATGCTGATTTCCATTTTTGTTCTTCTCTTTATAGATGCTATGCTTAATGAGGATAAGAAGATCTTTGAAGCTCTCGGGAATGAAGACCCAGGGATGGAATCGTTTGAACAACTCTTCTCCAGGATGACCTACATGAAAGGTAAAATACAGGGGATGTGGATACCAAAGGGAGGGGAGAAGTATGTGCCCTAATTGGAAAAGAAAGAAAGAAGTTAATGCCTTGCGTGTCTTACATGCATAAAAACGAGAGAATAAGGGAGAAATATGGTGGTGGTAGTAGTGGGGGGTTCCAGGGATGAGAACTATTGAAAATATTCATTTTGTAGACATAGGGCCATAAGAAGTTGAATACACATAAGCAGGGCTCCGCACTAACCTTTTTGAAGGGGGAGTGGGGACCGTAATGACCTCTTTAGTCTGTATGCATGAGCCCTTTGTTGAAATGTTGAGGGCCCGGGCTTACAATGTTGGCGCCAATGTCTCCCAGGGGTTTGTTAGTGATGAGACCCAATGTACGGACTGTACATGTAGTAGCATTTAGTATTAGTGTTTCCTTTGGATTTCTACACCCTTCTACTAAGGAGTATTGGAAAATACCAGTACTACATTTACAAGTTTTAGAGGATGATGTTATAAATATTGAACAAAAGGTTTAAAATATTTAATGTCCTTTCTCATGTTTGATACTTTATATTATTTCCTGGTAAAAAGAAACTTGCAAATGTGAGACTAAGTAGATGCAATTCATAAAAACAGAAAAATGGTACTTGAAAAAAAAAGAGTTTAATGTTAGAGATAAATATTTGAACGTGAGTTAGTAAGGAAGGATAAATCTATAGGTACACTGGTTCTGATTTCCGAGCATATATTTGATTTTGCGAATAACTTAATTGTAAATAATGACAACAGTTACATTTCATGAGTGGAGCTTGACCAAACTAAAGCATTTCTACTTAGTACTCATAGATTAGAAGGCATTTGATTCTTATGATAATATGACTCGTATATCAAACAATACCTTTATGTAACACGATTTTGTCCTTGCATTGTAGACAAAGCAGAAACTTTGGAGGGTGAGGAGAGGAGACAGTATGCCGAGAAAGTGGCTGTTGCATTCTGGAAAGCGATAGGAGGAGATGAAGGAGAGATAGATGGACTCGGTGATGATTCAGACTAATGATGGATGACCATTAAAGGAGGATAGTAGGAAGAGCTGAAGGAGAGATAGATGGACTCAGACTAACAATAGAGAAGAAGGAGGAGGTATGAGTGAAGAGGTGGGTGTCGCCTTCTGGAGAGCGATAGGAGGAGATGAAGAAGAGATAGATGGACTGGGTGATGATTCAGACTAATGATGGAGGACCATAAGAAGGAAAGTGAGATAGGAGGACTAATGATGAAGGAGCAGAAGAAGGATGGTTGGAAGAGACAAAGGAGAGATTGATGGACTTCATGATGGTTCACATTGATAATGGAGGAGCATGGGGAGGATAGAAGAAGGAGGGATAGATGAAGGGGCGAATGTCCCATTCTGGAGAGAAATAGGTTGGGACAAAGCAGAGATAGATGGACTCGGTGACAATTAAGACTAACAATGAAGGAGTAAAAGGAGGATGGCAGGAGGAGCTGAAGGAGAGATTGATGAACTTGATTACGGTTCACATTAATGATGTAGGAGCATGAGTAGGATAAAAGAAGATGAAGGAGGGATAAATGAAGAAGTGACTGTTGCTTTCGAGAGAGCAATAGGAGGAGATGAAGCAGAGATAGATGGACTGAATGGTGATTCACATTAATGATAAAGGAGCATGAGGAGGATAGAAGAAGATGAAGGATGATAGGAGGAGAGAAAGAAGAACCCAGTGATGACCCAGACTAATGATGGACTTGTGAAAGAAAGATAAATGCAGTAGGAGAAGATATGGAAGGAGGAGAGATAAGCAGACTTAATGGAGTGGCATAAGGAGGAGTTCTTCCCCTCCCAATACTAAATACCAAAGTTTAAAGGGACTAGATAACATTGTTCATATGAGAGAAAATGGTGCTAAGGTAGTGACTTCAATGCTAGATTTATAATTAAATATAATCTGAAAATTAGAGTGAAAACAGACCGTTAATAATGATAAAAGTCAGGGAATTTTAATTATTATAATTTGATTAAATTTTAGATAAATTTAAATCATCACAAAGCAATGAATTGGCTCTTTATACCATTCCAAACATTTAGTTGTTGAAATATTTTTTAAAGCCTGTTTCATGTCTAATTTTCATGGAAAAATTATTGGAAAAATTCAAAAGTTATAGTGTTAGTACAGTAGAGGGAATATAATAAGTACCGTAACATTTTATACAAAAGTTACGCATTTTCCTCATCAACCTTCAACAATGTTATCGGTTCACTTTAACACAGAACTTCAGCCCTTTGTACCAACACCTATGTTATGATTGGTGATTCTTATTTTGTCTATTCACATGTGTGACATACATTCTGCATGCTTTAACATGAATGAAATACCCCATAGATTCTTAAACAAATTGTTTACAAGAGGTTTGTCAGAATAGGTTGTTAGTACATAGGGGTGACGGAACACAGGCCCATCACCTCAGCAACATTGACTGGGGGTGTTTCATAAAGATCCTAAGTTGGACTTAACAATCATGGAAAGCTGTTAGCATTATTGAAAAACATTTTGTAAAAGTTATTTTAAAAGGCATAAAATGTTGATTCAAACCATTCATATTGTCTATTATCAAGGAGATTTTATGTTCTTGATGTGAAATTTATGAAAAGTCTGAAATACTTGAATTTCTGCTTTTGAATGTATTTCATTTTAAGACTCCAATGGCTGTCCATAATTTTTAAGTCCAACTTAGAGTTAAGTTCTACTTAGGATCTTTGTGAAACACCCCCCTGGACTATTGTAAAGCCTTGTTCAGATATGACGCGTTACACTGTTTTTATGATGATGACACACTTCACATATCTGTATCTTATAACACAGAGCTCAGTCAATACACATAGGACCTTTGTTGCATACAGGTGCCATTTATTTACTCGTTTTAAAAAAGCATTACTTTTTTCCGGCAGTTTACCACGTAATATCTGAACAAGCCTTAAAAAATACTCGGGTATTATGATTTATGTTAGCCTCTACGATAAAATGATCTATATTTACAAACTTTGTAGTATAAAAGTATTGATTGAGCAGAAAAAATCAGGTATCAAAATTTGGCTGGCTAGAATCAGCACTTACCTCTTTTTGCATAACCGATACTTGCTAGGGTGGGTGTGAATGAATGTCACTCTCGTTTCTCAATAAATCAGTTCAACTCGGATGTACACTGTCGTTAGCCAAGCTGCTTCACCTCGATCCAAAATAGTGTACAATCATATTAATCATCAGAGGATGGGTGCATAATTGACGATTTATGATGAAAACATCAAATTTGATGAAAATTTGATACTCAAAAGTACCCAAAAATCTAGGGGCTTTAAGTTTTCATCTGACAGGTTGTTTTGTTATAATAAACTCATACAGAATTGATTGCTAATTATTATATGCTATATAGGTTTATAGTTATGATCATTATACAAATACCTTTCAGTTTAGAACAAAAAATATTGTCTACTGACAACCGCTATCATAGAATAGACGTGTCACTTTTCAATTTCTGACAGTATTTTTAAATGGGTTATTTTAGAATCCGTGAAATAGACACCAGACAAAATATATATGGCAAGCCATACACCCCCCCCCCCCCCTCCCCCTCCCCCTCCTCCTTTCTTTGGTAAAAGTTATATACAACATATTAATAGATATATATTACAATATTTTATGTGGATATATGAAATTTTGAGGCCAGAACACAATATCTTGTTCATGGTGACTTCATGGATTTGCACCTCAAGGAAAGGGGCTACCTTTGCTTACTATTTACATCATGTTGAAGAATCATCCTAGTTTAATGACCTCATCACCACCAACATTAGGCTTCAGAATCATGCTCCTGTATTATTATCTTTTAATGTGGCATGTACAATACTCTAACCAAATCCTATTTGTCACAACAATTTCAAATTTCTTGAGCTATTGTGTTTCTGATTGCCAGAATGGGATGTGGAATTGACCTTGGATGTGTGTAGATAAGCATATGTTTTATGATTATTAAAGTTGTGCAATTTTTCAATGATAGGAGTTGCTGAGTCAGATTTGTTATGTTGATTCTTGGTATGACAGTGAATCATGTGATCTAAAGTACTGTTAGATGTTATGAGAGAGAGAAAGAGAGAGAGAGAGAAGAGAAAGATATACATAGAGAGAGAGAGAGAGAGAAAGAGAAAGATATACATAGAGAGAGAGGAAAAGAGAAAGATATACAGAGAGAGAGAGAAAAAAAAAAGAGAAACATGTATATAGAGAGAGAGAAAAAGAGCAAAAGAGAAAGATATAAATAAAGAGAGAGAGAAAAGGAGGAAGATATAAATAGAGAGAGAGAGAGAGAGAAAGAGACAACAACAAAAAAGGGAGAGAGAGAGAGAGAGAGAGAGAAGGGGGTTAGTAAAACGAAAGATTTCTGAGCAAGATGGAAATGAATTATCTATGATTATTTTGCAGCTTAGGAAAGAGAAAGATGCGAAAGAAGGGACAAAATTATGGAATAACAAAATATTTTAAAAAACTGACCAAAAAAAGCTTTATAAATGTCTAAATGAATTGATAGAGAGACCCCCAAAAAATTATATGTGGGGCATTAGGTATAATGGCCAATATAAAGCTATATATATGTGCGGTCGACGGGAGTAAAGTCTCTTATTTTCTGTTGCAAAAGAAACAATTATTTAAAAGTAACACCTCATCCCATACAAGTAAACAGAGAAAAGTTCTTATCATTTTCATGACTATATACAATGCTAAGATTTATTACTCCAGGGTAGAGGTTAAAGTAACTATTTTGATATTCTTATCACTCAAAATCATAAATTTTATTCGTTTTGTTATGAGGCTCAAAGGTGGAACTTCGTGTTATATCCGATTAATTGATTAAAGGCGGTGTTTTTCTCGGGCGCAACGGGAGCGTTTTTTAATCTTTAGAAGGGGGTGTTCGCGTGGTGGTAGTGGAGGTAGGGGGGTGCTAATACCTGTTGCACACGTACCGTCATTTTGCCTGACGTATAACTGCGTCACCGACTGGCGCTCTCTTTGACTCACCATATGAGGCTGACATTGTTCAAAGAAAAATAATTTCAAAATGAACTGTGCCCACATTGCAATGAATTATATGGCCTTCAGAGGAGTTACCTATACAGCTCAGGTAATAAAGCAATCGAAAAGACGCCTCATCGTGTTCAGCAGACAAATATGAGTGAATATGGCGAAGTTCCTAATAACGTGATGTTAAAATACATCGATTTGTTTTCTCAATAAAATTCGGGTCATCGAGCCCGCTACCTTATATCGTTGCCCCTGTTTTCCCTAGATACCACCGATTTTTAAGACCTCCATCTTGTCGTTAATCTTAGATGATAAATATCATATTTTCATAAATTTGAAAAATATATTGTATTCAAAAGTTATTCCATCATAACTTGACACTAATTGATCAGTAAATCTCAGATCATGACACACCTGACAAAACATCCTAATAATAACCCTCTTACGTCAACGGCTCCACACTGCTTATTGCCGATTAAGGCTGTTACGAGTTTATACGACACTTGCCTCCTTTGACAATAGGCCATTTTCGAAATGTAATAAATTTGCTGCACGCTTTCTTTTTTTACAGTGCCTCTTTACAAATTAATGAATTCACCTGATACGAATAATAGTATTTCAAAAGTCAGAAAGCGAATTGCATACATTTATTGTTGTTAGGTAGGACAAGGCGACAAGCAATAATGTTTGTCCTTTCTAGCAGCATTAATGTATGCCATTGGCATTCTGGCATTCGTGCAAAGAAAATTAAATGACCACCCCCCCCCCCTCTCTCTCTCTCTCTCTCTCTCTCTCTCTCTCTCCCTCTCTCTCTCTCTCTTACCTCCCGCCTCTTATTGCCAACATGAGATGTATGTCTAGGCTTAGGGTTAGGGTTGCAATTGGCCATTTGTTAATGTTACCAAATTTATACCGAAATGGCTAGATACGAATTATGTCATTCACCTGTTACATATTGTATTCCAAAGGTCAGAATGTGAATGGCATACATTAATTGTTGTTAGTTAGGACAAACATTATTTCTTGTCGCCTTTTCCTACCTAACAACAATTAATGTATGTCATTCACATTCTGCCCTTTGGAATACAATTATTTGTAACAGGTGAATGAAATAATCCGTATCGAGGCATTTAAGTATAAATTTGGAAACATTACGAAATGGCCAATTGCAACCCTAACCCTAAGCCTAGACATAAATCTTTGGCAACAAAAGGCGGGAGGTAAGAGGGGGGGGGGGGCGTGGGGGTTCATATCATCTTCTGTTGTCTGTCCCCTCTCATTTTCCCTCTTTTTTTGCCATTTAATCGGGACCCCAATGCAGATTATTGAGATTATGTTCCTGTGAAAAATCCCTTTTAGACTTTTCTGGATCTGTATGATATTTATATTTTCTCAGACTAAAAATGATGTCCCTTTTTCTTCCCTGCTTTATTAGGCTGTTAATAACTATGTAACTTTGTTGAAAACATAAAAATATCAAGGGACGAGGATTCCCGCCCCTTTCATCAAATTGTGGGGGGGGGGGCGCAGAATCACGTAAAAAACCACCCTAATCAAACACCGCCCTTTCGTAATTTATTGTGGCTATCACCAGTCCACTTTAAAAATGACCCGCCTCCCTATGAAATTATTTAGAGGTTTTCGTGTAGTTTTGTTGAATTGTATTTTCTTTGCATTCCAATCCAGCGGCCTCTAAACATCAACATCATTACCGTTCTTCGCGGTAACACTATTATTGCACTCCCTTGGTTTATAGTGTGTTTGATTTCGAGGTGATAATTTCGATTCACGCTCTGGATAGATGGTAATTATTTATTGAGTGTTTGTCGAGCAGTTAGTACCACCATGTTTATCACTATGTACGCGCATGAACTTTGTGGCTTCCATTTGTTTCAAGAGAGGGGGTATTAAGGCTTCTTCTAGGGGCTTTACTGGGAGGGGGTATTTTATTATTTTTTAATTGCACGAACAACATTTGCTCCTTGATCAATTTCGTGTAATAACTTAATCAACCCTTGGACAAGAACGCTTAATCTAAATCTAACCGTAAACATATAGCCTAACAATGACTACTTTATATTAATACATTTAATTTATCTAAACACATAAGTTTTTGTTTTTTTAGGCGAATGGCACCCTTTAAATATAAGCGTTTAATGTCGTTGAAGAGAATTCGTTTGACTGCTGTTGTTTACAATACGTTACCCCACAGAAATCGAGATTATTATTTCAAAAAATTAATATATTTTAAAAGTTTGAAATGAATAGGTTACGCACATAACATGTTCTTAGGAAGGAAAACGAGCAAATTAAGCGAGGGGATAAAGATAGAGCTGATGATAGCGAAGGGGACTTGGGGTTAGATTGGGACGCTAACTGTGACATTATCTTTCGTTTTAACAGAATGATAAACGATTAATAACTTAATTTCACTGGCCGAACATCAATATTTTCAAAAGCTATAACAACAGCATATTAAAAAATAATCATTGCCGTATTATATACTCAGGAGTACACTTCGCATCTTTAAATAGGGTATAAATAATAGTTCAGGACAATTATCATCCAGCTTAATTTTGTTGATTCAAGTCCGTTGTACCCCAATGAACTCAATTTACTGTGCTCAATTTGTGTAACCATGAGACAAAGATAAATAATGGAAGGCGGGGGGGGGAGCTATGTAATTTGAAAGGGGTGTATATTTAGCAATAAAAACAGAGAGTGACATCATACCATGCAGTGGTAGCCTATACCAAGGTACTGAAAATAATAACAATAATTATGGTAGTTTCTTGATTATGGTAGCCCATTTCCGTCACGTCGGTATCGACACTCATGAATGAATCACTAATACCACGACATCTCCACCATGAACCACTACGGGGAGGGCGGTATCTTAATGCCTGTCTGCACTAGTTTTGCCAGGAGGGATTAGACCCCCTGCGTGGTCACTGGCAAGTAGTGCAGTCCCGCTTTAAGGTTAGGGTTGGGTAAATTGCTGGGTCCAAGGTTAAATTCAGGAATTCGGGGAGTAGTGTTCGAAATGCAACCATGTCTCGTAAGCATGAGAGGAGGTGCTCAATAAAGGAAACAGTGATATGTGTATGTTTTCTCTCCCCCCCCCCCTTTCATCACCAACAACCCAAGATATGTCCCTGCTAACATAAAAATATGCAACGGAGACATGCACCACTAATCTCGACTTGTTTATTTTGAGGACGAGTTAGCAAATGCTGCGATTTTATAGGTTCTAAAATCTCAATAAACCCCATACACGTGACACCATTTTATTGTTTAATACCACTGTAGACTATTCTCTCTTTCCTTTCATAGCTATCTATCTATCTTTTTAATCAAATACTATTAAAAGTTCCTGCTTCGACTGAGAAAGAGTCATTTTCATTGCGAGTGTCTAGATATTGAACAGCCAAGATGATTTGGGATCGAGGTATAAGGACTCTTGTCTTTTACTGCATATTTCTGATGCCAAGTTTATGTGAGTTCTATTTGCACTATTAACATTATGCTATAACTTTCAGTAATCTCAGTAACAAAATAGAGCTAGAAATGAGAAGTTATGTATTTCATTTATGCAAATTATTACGGGTTTCATAGGTATGTATTTTGAAATAGTAATCGCTTATTTTCATCCATATTCTATCGATATACCATAGGGCCTATTAATGTTGATATATTATTTTCATTTTCATTGTTATGTAACTCAGTGATTTAATCCATTGAAGATGGGCGCAGAGTGATGTTCTCATTCGAAATAAATTCTTACTCAATTTGTAACGCCAATTGCATGAAATTCCACTAATTAAACCAGTATGTTCAGTCTTTGCATGACCAGCATGTAAGCGTTAGAATTTGGAGATGGATAGATTAATATTTCCGCACCATGATGAAAAAGTTCGTTTAATTACATTTCGACGAATTTAACCAACGACCTTTGTAATGTGTTAGTGAGTACCACTTTTCTTAACCAGCAGCTTCTTTGAAGGTATTACTTAGGAAACACCTTTACAGAAGGTATCTAACAACATCCAAACAGGAGCCGTTGATGGAGCGAGAAGTTTGAGAACCTTTACAAAACTACTTTCTTAAAGCCCCTCTTAAAGTGTCGGGAGCCCCAGAAATTTGATGGCAAAATTTCACTTAAATTGTATCATAATGTGAAAAGGGATTTCATTACATTTTGCAAGGATTTTGAAGAAAAAAATGTGTTTGCTGTCGAATATTGATGAAAGAATGGAAAAAGAAGGTTTTCGGTGTACAACAGAAAACCCAAATTATATATTCTTTTATCAATCTTTTATAATACTGACGCACACTTATTATAAGCGAATCGCTATCATAGGGTTGATTAGCGTAGGCCAATACACGAAAGTATGACCCTAGGCGTTTTTGTTTACCGGAAATTATACCCATTTAATAAAAGACCTCAAAGATTAACCTAAAAAGATATTTCTTAATGCCGGATGCACATGTCATCATGCGTCATTTTGATTCATCGGATTGCGTCTGTTACCTGCGTTAATCAAGCCCATAATCTAGCCTTCAATTTTGCCTTCACACTTACTCGATGCCACTTTCTCACATGGTGCGTCAAAGACCGCACAAATCTATGACGCAGTACTACGTCAGCGAATGACGCCTCGTGTACAAATAGCATTACATTTTGTAAAACGCTGGATTTTAATTCCCCTTGCAATCCCCTCCTGCAACTGTCTGTTTTCTTTTGTTGAAGATCGTGGAACGTTGTCGACAATGGCACCAACAACTCTTCCAACTAGTTTTGCGTGCGGATTTGAGATCAATATCTTTGACACATGGTGATGCATGACACATGAGTCTATTTGATCTATGTCCGCCATTTACAATTGCATTTTTTCCTACATTTTATAATTGGATTATTCTTCCTTTTATATAAAAGGTCGTGGGATTTTGACGACCACGCCTTCAACACCGACTGTCTCTAGTTTCGAGTGCGGATTTGAGATCAGTATCTCTGACCCATTGTGCGGCATAACTCAAGAAACTACCGATGACTTCGAGTGGATGAGGAAGACGAGTGATGATCCAGACTTCACGGATCCCGAGCCTTCCGTTGATCATACCTCGCAATTAATACATGGTATGTCATATCAGGGGGGGGGGGGGGTGTTTCACAAAGATCCTAAGTTGGACTTAACAATTATGGAGAAGCCGTTAGCATCTATGAACATATTTTGTAAAAGTTATTTAAAAGGCATAAAATGTTGATTCGAGTCATTAATATTTTCTATTATCAAGGAGATTTCATTTTCTTGATTGGAATTCATAAAATAGTCTAAAATACTTGCATTTTTCTTTTTGAATATATTTTATTCAAGGCTACAAATGGCTCTCTATAATTTTTAAGTCCAATTTAGAGATAAGTTTGACTTAGGATCTTTGTGAAACACCCCCTGGTATACGCCTTTTGCTTTATTGTTTTTGTAGTGGCGGATGTATGTGCGTGGGTGGGCGGGTAGGTACCGAGGACACTCATAAGAACTGTACCTTGAATTTGTCTACCACTCGAAAAATGAGGGCGTCCTTGGTTCGAGAAAACTGTCAATTGTTAAAAATTTGAGGCCCTTTCATGTAGGGGTATGTTTATTTAGTTGCTCTATTTGCACAGAAAACTATGTCCTCAGTTTGGCACTAAATCTCGATGTCGTCCTCGGGATGTTATATTCCTATAATATGTGTGTCCTCGGATGCTATAACATACGGATGTGTCCATACGATTTCACACCGATTTCACACCAGAAACGTGGTCCTCGATTTCACACCAGAAACGTGTGCATGAGTGTGTGTTGTGTATGGGGGAGGGAGGGGGGGGGCCGGGGTTGTACCTGCCCGTGCCCCTAATAGAATCCCCCTGAAGTACACACAAAATAAAAACGTGCCTCCTTTTTTTGTAATTCTGTCCCTTTTCACATTCAAGGCACCTGAATTTAATGTATTTTTTTTGCGAGGGGGGGGGGGGGGGAGGGTTAATTGTCAGAATTTGAAAATTGTGCCCCCATTCCCTTTCGGAGTCCTGGATCGAACCCAAAGAAGCGACCACTAATGATATCGGTTAAAATTAGAGTTAGACTATTATTACCTTCTGAAACAAAATTTAATTATGATTAAGTAGAATTCGGCATCATATTTGGAGAGCGATATTTTTTCATTGCTTTCCTTTTTAGGCCTATATTTTGTATCTTGCGAATAAAATTTCATTGCAACATAACTGTGGAAAGGTACAGCTTGATTATAACGAACCACCAGTAGCTATCATCATAATAACAAGTTTCTACCTTTTCTTTCTCACTCACTTCGGTCGCTTGCAAATGTTTAAAAACGGAAAAGTCGATATTCTATAGGCAAGATACGACAAACCTCCCTGGAAAAATTGAGACCTATCGTCTACGATAATTTACATCTTAGCTTTGATATAATTAGGACCGACACGATTATATCACAATATTGTTTGTCATCTTATCTTATCATTTTATTCAGGACACTACCTCTACGCTGCTGGTACAAGCGGGCAAATTGGGCAGCTAAACATGCCCGATTTCGCTCAGAACTCAGACCCACAATGCTTGGAGTTTTTCTACCAGATCGGAGGGGACGACGCTGGACAGCTTAACGTTTACCAGTGGTCGTCGTCATCGAGTATGCCGTCATCCCCTTCCTGGCAGATGACTGGAAACACTAACGATGTCTGGAACCGTGGTCTCCTCACCATCGATCCGCAAACAGACATCTACACGGTTAGTATATCTTTCACTCTTAGAATCATCTGTATCAGGAGGGGGGGGGGGGGGGGGGGTTAATAACTTTGATCAAGACGGGGTGACAATGATAATTGCCCCATGGCAAGTCTGACACTAACCGAATTCCTTATGGCAATCATTGACCCAACATTGTAAACTTATACCTATTTAACCCTTTATACTCCTAACCTTATATACTCCTAACCTTAAACGTTAGCTAAAGCCTCGGTCACAAATGCCATTACGAACTGCTACGAACGCCGTACGAACGATTTTCAGACAATGGAAATTCGGGAAGACAATGGAAAAACAGGGAGATTCGTAAGAAATTATCGTTCATACGAACCTTTGTGACAGTAGCATTAACCTAAGCCTAACTCTGCCACTCTTGATCAAACATTGTACCTAATTCTAATCCTAACCCTATTCCTAACCTAAAATCCAACCTAACCTAATCCTTAACCTTACTCTTGATCCTTGTCGAAAAGAAGCCTGAAGCAAATGTCGGATCACCCGATCGAGGTAAAATAATTAATACTTATTTAAAGGAAATCGAATGATCAAGAAGCGCCTCAAAATAGTAAAAAATCTTTGAGTGACCGGTTTTACCATAATCGTTTTCCCCAATAGTGTTATGAAAACCGTTAGGAAAACGCAAAATTTGGTTTCGATTTCCAATCATAAATATCTTGATAATCAGACAGGCGATCGGCTTGTAAAAGTCCTGGGTTTCCTGACTGACCTAAAGGTTTATAATTACCATTGCAGCATGAGCTAAATCCAGTATTTTGTTTCAGAATCTGAGACAAAATAACCGGATCCCTTTAAAAAAGCTAAGATTATAGTAGTCATAATTATGCCTAATTATCCTGAGATTCCTGAGAACCTAGCAAAATGAAATTTCTTCGTACAAAAATGCATCCTACTGGCCTACATACAGATTTTTTTTACGAGCCCTAATTTACACAGCTTTATTTTTTACGGCATTCAATGAACCGCTGTTAATGAGCGGTATACGGTTTATGACAGGCTTATCTTGGCTTGTTAACACCCCTTTATCATGCATAGATTAGGAGTAAAAGAGCTACTGGTTGATCGGCTGATGCTGTTAAGTTAGGGTTTTCATTTGGTAACACCACGTACCTAATTTCGAAGATCTGTCTATGTTTATGGTTTTATGATGAAAACAATTCAACACAAAGCCCTTTTCTATCCTTGCCTCTGTGTCCCCGGCTGTGTCCATTATATTTTTCTTTCGAAGGAAATTGAGTTTTTAAAATAAATATAAGTAGGGTCATTCGCAAATCAAGAAGGCGGTGCAGTTTCATTTTTTCAAGGCTTTTCATATTTACTACAGTTTACCATAATTGCATTTGTGTACCAGAATTTTAAATACCGGTGTAAAGAGAAATCCAATTCTAGGCTCTTCTCCCTTTTTCTCGAAATGAAATATATATGTCAGACCAGGATATCAGAATATGTTGTTGCTGCCAACCAAGGTAAAACTAAGAAGCATTTAAAAAAGGCTTTTTATTTTACATTCATTGTATAAACATGTACTTTGCATCTCAGTAATCATTGTAAACAAGTTTTTGCCCACACCCCCTAAAAAGAATCCTGTCATCAATTATTTGTTTCGCTTCTTTTGATAATTATTCCATTCGTGTCCCGAACAGTATATCGAACAATGGAAAAGTTTATAATATGCGTTATTGAATGCTTCTGAAAGTTTGCAAGCAAATCGTCATTATCTAATGAATTAGAATGACATAGTATTCTTACTTATTTGTCTCTCCCGGCCTGGATTCTATTGTCGAGTCTGAACAAAATGGCCCGAATTCACAAAGCAAGGTTTGAGCTCAGACCAAGGTTTGAGCTCAAACCTCCTTTTGTTTCGCCAAACCTCCTTTTGTTCTTTACAAACCAGGTTTGTAAAAAACGCGTAAAACGCGTCATATGACGTACGAAAACCAAGGTTTGTCGACAAACCTCCTTTGTGAATTCGGGCCATTGAGTCTACAAAGGATCTTGGAAAACAGGTCTTATGGGATCCGCTGTATTTAGGTCATGTGATTTCGTTTCATTTTCAGATCATTGTCCTTATTATTACAAAGAGAGTACTTGTATATATCTAAAACAACATTATTACCTGTTTCAATCTAGATTGAGTTGAGGTTTAAATAATACATGTACTATCTCAATACAGAATAAGCTTATCCCACCTCTCATACAACGTTGTTTTTTGTATAGATGTGAGCAAGATTCAGTTGAGAACAATTATAAATATTTCTGACTAAATTATTTCTTAATAAGGATAAACAGAGTTACAGCAAAAATGATTTAACAAATCTATCTTGTTTACTGTTTTTTTTATAGCTGGCATTCGAAAGTGTTGCAGGATCAAACACGAAGGGCTTTATGGCCCTGGATGATGTCACAGTAAGCGATGGCCCATGCCCATTTGGTATGATATCAATAAATTCATTGTTTTTTTCTGATTTTCCCCTTCATAATAAGCGTGTACCGCATCCAATATATCCGTTACTCGGTAACGCTCATGGCGCTTAGACAATCATTATCACCCTGGTTATAGCCAAACCGCCACAATAACTAGCGCTCGAGCTATATGCGGGACCCATTTTGCACCTAAATGTATATTGATTTTTTTTCTCTCTCTAAGGACGTTAGTGTCGGGCTGAGATTTGAATTCTGTACCTTGTGATCTACAATTTGATGAGTTGTCATGAGATATATCTGATATCTGATAGTGATTACATGTAATGGTACTTAATCTGCAATGAATCCCTGTATGGTATAGAGGTCATGAGTTACCAATCACTCGAACATGTTTTGCTTTTGACGTAAGGGGTTCCATCACTATGCACATGACGGACAAAGAAAGAGGACAAAATATACAGTTCCTCAGGTAGACAAAGGAACATCCTTTCACTGCTATTATGTAAAAATGTGTAGAACAGGTGAATATGCATGTGACACCTGTTCTACACAATATCAGTGAAGGGATGTTCCTTTGTCTACCTGAGGAACTGTATATTTTGTCCTCTTTTTTGTCCGTCATGTTCATAGTGCATGTTGCTATACATGTATTGTATTCAAAACCGAGCATGTGAAGGCATTTAGCACATACACCAGCTATCAAAAGCATTGTGTGCCCTTTTCAACTTGCATGCACCTTTCAAACGCTCAATTTCTTTAAATGAAAACATCAAACGTTAAATCCCTTTAAATGAAAACATTAAAAGATAAATTCCTTCAAATGAAAACATAAACAAATATAATATCCCTTAATCCCTTAATGTTTGTTGCTCTTAGGACGTCCTTTTGTTTGTCTTTGTTTTGTTCGTGTTGTAGCCTTCTGGTTGTTAGGTTATTTAACTGTACTTACATAATAGGGGTTTGCCTCGAAAGGCCCTCCACATTTTCACTTAATTTTTATCCTTTTTTCGAGTAAATGGTATTATTTTGTTAATGTACTTAAATGCATTTTTATGCCATCTTGTTATGTTTTACTGTTATTTGTGATAGCTTTTTAATGAAATATGGAAACTTAATATCACTTTAGCGTGATCAACCTTGCCAATTGCTTCCACAGTTTCTTTCACATTGCAATTGCATGACCAGGGGGTGTTTCACAAAGATCCTAAGTAGAACTTAACTCTAAGTTGGACTTAAAAATTATGGACAGCCATTGGAGTCTTAAAATGAAATATATTCAAAAGCAGAAATTCAAGTATTTTAGACTTTTTATAAATTCCACATCCAGAACATGAAATCTCCTTGATGATAGAAAATATGAATGATTTGAATCAACATTTTATGCCTTTCAAAATAACTTTTACAAAATATTTTCAAAGATGCTAACGGCTTTCCATAATTTTTAAGTCCAACTTAGAGATAAGTTCAACTTAGGATCTTTGTGAAACACCCCCCAGAACTCAACTTCTTCTTCAATGACAACAGCAAAAATATGTATACGTACATGTATTTGTGGTTATCATTGTATCTCTTTTTTCTTTCAAAAACTGAATTTCTACAGTGAATTTGACCTGCACATTTGAGGTAGACATGTGTTACATCATGCAAGACCCAACAGACGATGAGGACTGGTACAGGGATCAAGGAGGTACGAGTAGTACCTCTACGGGTCCTTCAGTGGACCATACACTAGGAACGGAACTAGGTATGTTACAGGCTTAGAAACTTTGTATTAAGCGCTATATAAATGTAATATTTTGTTAATATTATTATTTACATATCCAAAAAAAATACCCTACTAATACTACCGCTACTACTACCACTACTACTACTACTACACTATTATTACTACTACTACTACTACTACTACTACTACTACTACTACTACTACTACTACTATTACTACTGCTGCTACTACTACTACTACTACTACTACTACTACTACTGCCACTACTACCACCACTACTACTACTACTACTACTACTACTACTACTACTATTACTACTACTACTTACTACTACTACTATTACTACTACTACTACTACTACTACTAACTACTACTACTACTACTACTGCTACTACTACTACTACTACCACTACTACACTACTACTACTACTACTACTACTACTACTACTACTACTACCACTGCTACTACTACCACTACTACACTACTACTACTACTACTACTACTACTACTACTACTACTGCTACTACTACTACTACTACCACTGCTACTACTACCACTACTACACTACTACTACTACTACCAATACTATACACTACTACTACTACTACTACTACTACTACTACTACTACTACTACTATTACTACTGCTGCTACTACTACTACTACTACTACTACTACTACTATTACTACTACTACTTACTACTACTACTATTACTACTACTGCCACTACTACTAACTACTACTACTACTACTACTGCCACTACTACCACCACTACTACTACTACTACTACTACTACTACTATTACTACTACTACTTACTACTACTACTACTATTACTACTACTACTACTACTACTACTACTAACTACTACTACTACTACTACTGCTACTACTACCACTACTACACTACTACTACTACTACCAATACTATACACTACTACTACTACTACCAATACTATACACTACTACTACTACTACTACTACTACTACTACTACTATTACTACTGCTGCTACTACTACTACACTATTATTACTACTACTACTACTACTACTACTACTACTACTACTACTACTACTATTACTACTGCTGCTACTACTACTACTACTACTACTACTACTACTACTACTACTGCCACTACTACCACCACTACTACTACTACTACTACTACTACTACTACTATTACTACTACTACTTACTACTACTACTATTACTACTACTACTACTACTACTACTACTAACTACTACTACTACTACTACTGCTACTACTACTACTACTACCACTACTACACTACTACTACTACTACTACTACTACTACTACTACTACTACCACTGCTACTACTACCACTACTACACTACTACTACTACTACCAATACTATACACTACTACTACTACTACCAATACTATACACTACTACTACTACTACTACTCCTACTACTACTACTACTACTAATTCTTATACACCTCATCCTCCTTCTCATCATATTACTACCCCTACCACGTCTACTACTACTACAACTACTACTACTACTACTACTACTACTACTACTATGATACCTGCTGCTGGGCCGAATAAATTTAAGAGTTATCATATGAAAACTAATTCCACCTGAAAGCAGACTAGGAGCAAAAAGAAATGATCATACATTATTGATATGTACAATAATGTTACTGTTGTTATTAACATTACCGTGTCATTGTTTTCATTGTTCATGCTCTCCAAGCTCTTCCTTTATTCTCTCCCCTTTCTCATAGAAGTAAATAAAGAGTTACATTATACCATCATTTGTTATCATTATTGTTATTAATATTATCATTACTATCATTATTATCAATATTGTTTTTATCATTATAATTACTACTAATAATAATAATATTACCTACTGCAGGATATTACATCTTCGTCGAGGCTTCCTTCATGTCAATCGGAGAGATTACTCGGGTGATAACACCAACCTTGCAAAGTGTGGCGGATGGGAGTCCGCAAGCTTGTCTCACGTTCTTCTACCATATGTTTGGAACGGGTGTTGGTGAGCTGAAGGTGTATGTGGTACCTCTCGGTGCTGCAGACATGGGAGATCCTTCATGGGTGCTGTCCGGTAACCGAGGGGATAAGTGGAGGGGTGCGGAGGTGGACATCACCATAGGCGATGACTTCACGGTAAGTACCCCCAGTGACAAAGGATGGGTCCAGCTATCTGGGTTTGGGGGCACAGATGCCATGGGTTTAGCTTGGCTAAGAATTTGGAACAAAAAATTGATGAAAGATAATCATCAGAGTTAAAAATAATCAAAAACATATTTCTGAGCTGTTTTTCTCTCGCTATGTTCCGACTTGTTTTAGACTACTTTATGTTGACTATGATGATGTGTTAGCCTTTCCAAATAATGTAAGCTTGTTCGAGCCCCGCCCCCCCCCCCCCCCCCCCCCCCCCCCCCACTCCATGAACGAAGGGATACCATGCGTGTTACCAAAATGTCTGGTAATTTTCACGCACCAAAGTCCGGCTCGTATATACATAAAAAAGACTTTACACACCGGACTTAGGGGGGTGTTTTCAAAAGGAGGGAACATGCATATGCGTACCCTAACTAACACTGAGTGGAGGGGCCGGGGTTCGAGCTCCTCAGCCCAACCCTTTATCGTCTGTGTCGACTGCATGATTATCTTGAATCAATTCATGCTTGTTTCAGCATGCCTTTAACGTAAATGAGAATGATACGTTCACATCTACTGCAGACAGTTAGATAGTGCATGGCGTTAAACACCAATAAGTTGTATTTTTTATACCTATTTGTGCGGTTGTTTTGTATGCAATTGTAGTAACAGAAAAATTGCAGAAGGTGAATAACGCCTTGTTAACTTTGAATAATGGGCTTCATAATCCCTTGCACTAAGCAGGAGATATTACCGATTCATTTTGATAATACGATTATGGGTAATAGAAGAGGCGGTCTATAAATAATAATAATGATAATTTCAATGGTCCAAAATCTCTTTGGTCACTTTGGGCCTATAAGTCTCAATCGAGGTTGGTGTAGTATTAATTAGCTTTCATCGGACCAATATACTCGTGGGGGTGTTATGAGGTGTTAGATCTATGAGTATGATAGCTAAAGTCCATGAAGCCACATTCCACGATATAGCACACAAGGCCGACAACGTTGGTTCCATAGAATTTCTGGATAGATTCTAAAAATTCACTACACTAACGATTCAGAGGATAATCATAAAATAAGGAATAACAACTCCATAATTCTTTATCCAATATGTATCCCTTGTCATTTCAGATCGTTTTTGAAGCTGTGCGAGGCGAAACCTACGAAGGCGATTTGGCTCTGGACGATATTGATTTCAGGAGGGGAGATACATGCCCGGGTCAACGTAAGTGCTTTGAATTTAATTGATTCCCCATCCCCCTTCTAAACTCAATTCTAACTCCACAAACACACACACCCACACCGGCTACACGCACACACGTACGCACACACACACACACAACACATTGACATGGATGCTTTGTCAAACACCCCGTCTATTTCGAACATTAGAGCATTTGAAGAACACCCCTTTTCAGGGGACACTTCTACAATGATCTTCTTCCAAACTGATAATATTTATTTAAAAAACGAGAAAGCTTACAACTTATTTTTCATCTTTACCTGAATTCAACCACCTTTTTTCAAATTCGTCTCTGTTTCTCACAGACAAGCCCCCAGCAGGCGACCAGCAAGGAACGTGTGATTTCGAGGAGGTGGAGCTCTGTGAATATGAACAGGACATGACTGATGATGCCGACTGGATCTGGCAAAACAGGGCCAGTCCTTATTATACAAATGCCGGCCCTCTCTACGACCATACCAGCAATGATGAGTTCGGTAGGTGAAAGGCTAAAGAAAGAGATCGTATAGTATCGGCAATATCAACCATAATTCCACCATAAACAAATAATGATTCATCTACATGACTGTAGAGAAACCGGTTGACGTTTAAGCAGCTCGCTCTCAGCGAACTCTTATAACTCCATATAGAGCGAGTGTGGTCAATTATATTCCTGGCTGAATGTTAGGACCTTTGAACACGAGGCGTCATTCCACTGACGTAAGACTGCGTCATTCCACTGACGTAACGCTGTGTCAGTGATTAGCGCGGTCTTTGACGCTCCATTCCAGAGTGACATCGTACAGATCGATCCGTGCTAACACTGTCACTGATTGTATTGAACAAATAGCAGGTGCTTTAATCGCCTTTATAGGCTCGATTGGTTTAGGTAATAACGCAATCGAATTGACGCTCTGTGTTGTTATTCACCAACTATTTATCTTTCTTTCTGTTCGGTAGGCTTCTATCTATTCTTATATGGAGAAGTTGGACATCGCGTGACGGCAAGAATGATATCCCCCTTCGTACCCCTCCAGGCTTCTCAAACCTGCCTCGTGTTCTGGTGGTATCTCTACGGCAACGACGATCAGACTCTCAGTGTCTACTGCGTCAAGGACGGTGATGACATTCCAGATACCCCTCTCCTCAGCATGTCCGGTGACTATGGTCCTTACTGGAGGAGAAGCCGACATGATATCCAGCCCGAGCTCACCCCATGCCGCGTAAGGACTTTCTCAAAAAAATATAATTTTGCAAAGAAGAAACTATAAGAAAAACAACAACGACAATATTAACAGCAATAACAATAACAACCCTGCAACGTTGCTCGCTCTTCTGTGGAGAACAATTATAGACTCGCTAGTAAATTATGTCCGTTTTATCAAACAGATATGGTTAAAGCACAGTCCAGCTGAGATTACTTTTCAGTCTCAAGGATATACGGTTTAATTATTTTGTTTATTGAAATGAAAACTCTGTCGATCTGATAGTATTGAAATAGATCCGAAAAAATGGCCGTTGCGCCACAAAACGCCGGTTGCAAGTCACCACAGCATAGTTATGCACCAATCATCTCTATTTAGTTCACATGCGAATATAGTGCGTTGACAACTTGAAGTTGAAACGGTTTATTCCAATGTTCATTAGTTTCCATTGTCTTATTTCATCTGTCCATTGATTCAAAGTCAAATCAGTTAAGCACACAAAGTCCCCTCAATAGTCTACCACTGAACGCCAACTCCTCGCTGTGTCATCTATTTAAACATGATTAAAAGACATTTTAAAATTCATGCGTTTATTATATCCCATTTATTCCTACTTCTCTTGTTACCTCCTGCAGTTAATCTTTGAAGGGACGACTGGCATCCACAGTCGGGACGAAATAGCGATTGATGACGTAGACGTCTATCAAAGCGAACAGTGTCCACAAGGTAAGATTATTATGAAAATTATTATTATTAGACATTGTAACGATAACCGTGATGGTCACAAAAAAAAAAAGAGAATGTGGAAGTAAAACAGATCATTTAACGAATATATACCATTAAATGTCGATGATGTGGAATTGAAAATTGAAACACACACACACACACAAAGATACAATTGTATAAATAAACACCCACAAACACACACGCACACCCAACCGCAAACAACATTATAGGTTAACTCATTTATGTTCAGTTTGTTTGAAATTATTAATCCATATATATATATATATATATATATATCACTTCAACAGAATGAAAGATTTGATAGAAAGGTTACTGATCAGCTACAATTTGAATTTGCTGTATATTGAAACCATGCATTACATTCATTGACAGTGGACAGTGAAAGACAAATAACCATCATGATTTTCTTGACTTTTGATTAATTTACTCAGATCCGTATTTTGTTAGCCCAACAACTACACCGCCTACGACGACCAATGTCAACTGCGACTTCGAGAGCACGAGTGACGCTATGTGCGGATGGACCCAGAGTATACGAGATGGATTTGATTGGATACTCTACAGTGGCCCGACCCAGGACTATAACAGTGGTCCTGACGTCGACCATACTCTACAAACTGACAAAGGTAAACAAAACAAAAAAGGAAGAAAACGTTTTTTGTTTGCTCTTTTAATTGATGACTTTGTGTTGGTGTTTTGTCGAATTTGATATTTTGGAAAAACGAATAGGCTTTTAATATTGACCATAACGACCAGTGGCGTAGCGGAATTGCCATTCATTTTTACGTTAAAAAAATACTGTGGCGTTTTTTTTCTTCTTCTTCTCGATTTACCGTGTCTTATCTGAATGTTTGATCTATGCTGAATAGGCATTTGTAATTTGGTTTGAGTAGGAAATTGACTCCGGAATAATCGTCGCATGAGCATGTGATGTAGGACAATAACATATAACATATTCTTCTGATCTAAAAGCTAATCACTTTCAGTTCAATTGCAGAGTACTGTTTATCCAATGATTATTTTCCTTTCTCTTTCTCATAGGACATTACATGTTGGTTGATACATACGAAGACCTTCCTAAGAACACCAGGGCAGATATGATCTCACCGCTGATCGCGCTTTCTTCGAGTTCCCGCTGCTTTAAGTTCTGGTATTACATGAACGGCCCCAACACTGATTTCCTCAACGTCTACCTCGTACCCTACGGCTACACCCTAAACATTGATCCCGATGTAGAGTTCTACGGAAACAGGGGTTCACAATGGATGGAGGGCAAACTATCAGTACCTCCATCCACGAGAAGTTTCTATGTAAGCTCCTCATTTGTTCGATCCAACTGGTTTTACTTGTATGAAATTTCAACTCTTATTTCCATCTTCTTTGTTAAGAGCTTAGATCTCATAAAAAATTATTGAGTTTTATCTTTGATGTTACTGCTTAATTTAAAAGGATATAGGCTTCATCACCTGGGACCCGTTTCACAAAGCCTTTTTTCGATGACAAATCGTCCCTATTTTCACGAAGTGACGGTAGTGAGGAAAATCGTCACCCAAATTGTATGCCATTTTCATTCACTACCGTCACTTCGTGAAAATAGGGACGAAATGACAAAATAAATCAGTGACAAATCTGTGGACAACCAATCAGAAGCAGGGATTTCAGTAGCTTATAACAAAAACTGTCATTTGTCACTGATGTTAAGTTTTGCGAAACGCCCCCAAGTTCTTCCTCAATGGAGTCTTATTATCAAGAATCGTGTTACGCTTAAAAGAATAGACATACAGCTACTTGGTGTTGGAAAACTCCCTTCCTAAGTTCCTCTGCTAGAAGTCTGAGCCAGCGCCATACATTGCCGTAGACGGGATAATAAAAACAAAACCCACTGAAGTATTGTTAAGTGACCGCGTGACTCGATTAATCAGAGGACAATTATCTGGCTCACGTTTTTTTCTGAAATTGTTACTAAATTTAATATATTTGTTGATTCTTTTGGACGCAGATCCAGGTCGAAGGAACACTTAGTGATTCAACGTATGGAGCTGATATAGCGGTGGATGATTTCACGCTGACAAATGGCATATGCACAGGTAATAGGGTAGATGAATGTATGGAGAATCAAATATCAAGTTGAGTCCTGGGCCCCGTTGCACAAAACTTACCATTGATGGTAACTTTGCCATCAATGGCAGCTACCATGGTAACAGGGCTCAACAGCCAATCAAAATCAAGGTTGCCATGGTAGTTACCATTGATGGCAAAGTTACCATCAATGGTAAGTTTTGTGCAAAGGGCCCCTGGTCATGGGCTTCCTTTGTGGAAAAAACAGGTGTTTGGAATCAATTGGGAAAAGTTGACTGTGTAGCACATACGAATTGTGTAATTTATAAAAACTCTTATGCACTGTACATAGAAATATACGTATGGAGATAAACTAACATGTGCCATTAAAGCTGGGTCCAATAGCCATTTCTAGTCATATTTCGAATAAGAGACCATTAGAAGAGTCATCCTTTTTACATTTTCCTTTAATCTTCCGTATTAACCTAAAGTGAAGGGGAAACTTCACAAATTATTTTTAACTTTATTAGAACTCAACCATCTCTTTAAAGTTTGTATGACATATAGTACCGCTCGTTAGCGGCAGTACTATATGTCATTCAGTATGAGAATTTTGTTGAGACCGGCCCACTTAACCTCTAAGATTAATATGAATCGGCCCTCAGATCACAAATCAACCGGCCCTCGAGCGTAACTATCGAGCGGTCCGTGTAAAAAAACTCCACATGGCGAGTCCATCTCAGACGCTTGTACACCCAGACGTCTGTGGTGTCTTGCATTGTTTCGGCAGATAAAATCAAATAGTTGAACAATTTTCCATTCAGGTTTTCAAGGCTCTCTCAAAAGATGTATGGATAGAGAAAATGAAAGCAGCAAAAGTCAAAACATTCAGACACAGCATAATAAATTCAAAGTACTATAATGGACGCTGTCGTATAGTCGAAGAGGTAGACCTTTGATACCCTTGATGTAAACAATATCCTCAGTCACCGCTCTCGTTCCGTTTTCTTTTTAGAATCTTCACAACCTCAGTATCCTTTCGTCGCCAACTGTGATTTCGAAGATGGCATGTGCGGTTATACGCAGCCGGTGGATGATTATGACAATGCAGATGAGTTCGACTGGTTCTTGAACACTGGACCGACAGGGACCGATGGCTCCGGACCTACCGCTGACCATACTAAAGGAACAGCTGACGGTCAGTCAGAGACTCTCAATTCTAAATATACTATATAACTAAAAGATATATATAATAAAGCGTCTTTTTCTGAGGTTACAATCGGAGCACTGAATATTGTTTATTACTGGCATTAGCCAAATAATGCATTCAGGGCACTTTGGCGTTTTATAAATGTTTTTCTTATCAGGTAGCTGTTCTCGTCACCTGGATGGAGAGTGGCAAACGTATATAGATAAACTTCTTATCGAAGGACATAGTGCCGTACGCAGCAATGTTTTGAACCTCAAACTGTGCGGTTCTGACTTGTACACCAGATCAGGACTCTTCCTCAAAAATGGTAATCTATTTCTTGTATTCATTCGTTGATTCCCTTTTCAGGTCATTACCTGTACATCGAAGCTTCTCAGCCACGTCGACCAGGTGATCGAGCTCAAATTATCTCCCCTCCCATCACCCTCTTCAACGACTCATACTGTCTGGAGTTTTTCGTCCACATGAGCGGTGACGACACAGCCTCACTGTCGGTAGTGCATCGTGGTGATTATTACCCCGACGAGGAGATTGCTCGCCTAACTGGTCCGGCTGGGACGGAGTGGAAACCGTACAACGTTGATGTCGGTATCAAGTACGGACCCGTCGAAGTAAGTTATCACGTTCTTTTGTTGTAGAGTGTTTTTATTAATAATTGGAAAGTATATGTAACTAAATTATTTGTCATGTTTATTTAGATGTACTGACGGAGGAGCTGTATAAAAATCGGCTTCTTTTCCCCAATAATATATTTTCTTTAACTAACTTTTTTAATCTTGAAAACTTCATTATAAACAAAGGTTCCAAAGAAAGAATATATTAAGCTGTATATAGGAAAAAGTTCAATTGTTGAAAGAAAGAATAAAGAAGGAGAAAAGAGAAGAAACAAAATCTCCCACATCAAAGTGTTGAGTCACGCATGGGGGAAAGATGTTGAAGTCATGTTTTTATTAAAACAAAAGGGGTTGGGGAAGAACATGGGAAAATATTAACCCACTCCCTTATGGTGGTGTCAAAAGAGTTGTGCATCCAAGGTGATCCTTCTTGAAATGTTCTTGTCTTTATCATTAAAAAAACACAGTGTGAGCCAGTGAGTACTGAATAAAGACGAGCTTGTATGTAATATTGTCAACTATCTTCCAACATCGTAGGCTCCCAGATTATTCATGAATAACATATATTCATTTTCATCCGAACCCCCACCCCGTATTCCTCAAGATTGTTTTTACAGGTACAGTTGGAAACAGCTACCGCGGTGACATTGCTTTAGACGATATAACCTTGACACCTGGGCCATGTGGAGGCTACCCGGCCGCAGCGATATGTAACTTTGAGTACGGATACGAGTCTTGCGGCTACACACAGAGCATCGATGACCAACTGGACTGGATGTGGATGGATGCGTTGACCGGAGAAACCCCTCCCACCGAATGGCCTGGTAAGATGTTGAAACATGAACTCAAAGACAATCAATGCCACAACAGAAAATATTCATATATTTCTTTGTGTTATTCGTGTATTTTTGTTATTTTTTGTTGAAAAAGAACAAGGACATTTCAAAGCATTAACAATTGTGTTCGCTTGCAGAATACTAGAAACCCTGATCCATTCTTTGGTGCAAGCCACCTCGGAGATACAATATGCACATGAGGAGATAAAGGCTATCTGTACCAGTCGTAAGACCAACTGAGAAATTAGGATGCTGGATAACTGGGCATGAAAGCCATCTAAGCATTATGTTTTCCATTCTTCACAGATGGAAGGAGACTAATTTACTTTCAAAAGGGAAGCAAAAGCTGTTCACGTAGCTCCACCATCACGTTGTTAGTGACTATATTGTAAAAATAAACGATGAGACTACCATGTGCTAACTTGGAACTGGTCGAGTATGCTTCATACTGTATGGAGAGAGTAGGTTGTGACAACGCGGTCATATAGGTTTGATCCGTAGACGTATAAGCATAACGGAGCTCCGAATTCTCTCCCATGTATAATCTCTACGTGAGGAAAGTTTTTGAGGCTCCATGGAATCACCGACCACTCAGGATCAACATCTGGAGACATTTTCTTTGAATCTCTCTCATCCAGCTACGTTTTGCCTTTGCACATTATCTCAGTCAGCCTATTTATGTTTCTTCTTGCAGGATATGGGTCTTTCATGTACGTGGATGGGTTTAATCGGACATCGGGCGACACGGCTGTGCTTCAATCTCAGATGATGTCACCAACTAACAACGATCACTGCTTTACTTTCGTCTATAAGCTGGATGAAGGCATGAGTCTGGACTTTATAAGCGTGGGACAGCATGGGTTACAAACAAAACTGAAGTCATACAGTAACCCAGCTGAGATGACACTTGTCGAGTATAACATACCGGTCGCTGAACACCCCAGTATATATAAGGTAGGACTCTTGAGTCTTGGGCAGCGCACACAGGAGCGATGTGAATGCCTTTTCCTCGACAATATTGCAACAAGGAATTATAGATAATGAAAGAACTATTGTTATATCTAAATATTTCGAATATTGAGAATGTAATACAGCACACAGTGTTACATTTCAAGTTACGAAAGGAATACTAAATTAATTGCCAATGCGTATTGTATATTTTTCAAAGTAAGTTTCTTGTACATGGACTGGTAATGATGCTGGTTAGCAGTGACGCCGATTCTTGCATGACTTGTTGATAATAAGCTGTGATATGTGCTATACAAGAACCGAATATTATTATTATGTATTAAACCATTACTGTCGTTGCAGGTTCATATGATAGCTACCGTAGAAGACGGACAGGCTGCAGGCCTTGCTGTCCTTGATAATACCTTCTTTGCGTTCGGTCCTTGTAGTAAGTGGTCGCTCAATTTACTTAACTCTATTAAAAACTTCCATTTTCTTTTTCTTCTTCTTCTTCCTGTTACTGTTAATGTCACATTTGTTCTTCTTCCTGTCCTTCTTTCTTCTCCTTTTTTTTCTTCTTCCTCTCCTTCGTTTTCTTCTTCCTCTCCTTCGTTTTCTTCTTCCTCTTTGGAATAACGTTTTGGAGATATCGAGGTTGGATTGCCACGCAAGGGCGTCATCTGACACGAGATGTAGTTCCTTGATGCCTTCAGAGAACCTTTTCAGCCCGGAGTCATTTGTGATGTGGGATGAGGTCTGGTTTCAGTGCCCACAGTCTCTCTCTCTCTCTCTCTGAATTTTCAATTTCAGAATGGCTTTTCTTTGCTTCTCCCATCAACATATCATGGTGCGATGTTTAATTGCACGATTTAAAGGTTTTCAGATATTTTACTTATAAACTTAACTAATAATCCATTTTATTTGTTAAATCTTTCTCATACATTTTTAATGAATCGTTTTTACGGGTGTATCTATTGAATAACATCGGATAATTCAGCCTTTGTAAGTCAAATTATCGCAATCAATCTTTCAAAATCTCTGTTTCCGATCAACTCACAGAATCTATGCGGTTCACTTTGGTTCACTTGTGGATTGAAATGTCTATCAAAACCAGTCAAGCTATGGATTATCTTTTGCCCTCTTCACAACAAATTAGTGTGTGATGTTTTCTTTGATATTAAAAGCTCACCAATGCCTTTTTCTAATGTGACTGTAACGTACTGTCCTTCTTTTAAGTAGAAACATTGTCCCACTCCTTGAAATGAGAAATTCAAAATATTTTCCTATTTTATTTTTTACTTTGAACTTTAAAGGTGGCCAGCATGTGAGTGCTTCCTCAACTACAACAGTTGCTATTGTTCTGGGTATTCTACTCGGAGTTGCCGCTCTCGTTCTCCTTGCCCTGGGCGTCCTGCATTACCGCAACAAATCAGCAAAGTCAGATATTCACCCTCAATCAATCTCCTACAAGAATGGCGGCTCCGTTAATCCACCCGATTTATCGACAGACGTCGGTATCGACAATCCTTCCTACAAATCTACGCCATTTTCGAATGCGTAGCTCACAATAAACTCACTGGTCCGAATTCTACTCAACTTTAAACCCTACTTTGTTTAAATCGGTCTAAAGTGAATTATAACAAAGGAAGCTGAACCGAAATCTTAGTTTTCTCCCTTTTATTCAGGGCTCAGTCCTCGCGACGGATTAAAAAAAAATTATAATACGGGCTCTGTAGGTATAGTCAATTCATATAAAAACATCTTTAAAAAGAGGTTCATTGATTTTAGATATTAATTTAATTTGTATCTTTGCATAAGGGACGGTAAGGTCGAGCAAGATTATCGAATTTTCCACTTGGAAACGTTCAAAGTAATGATTATCATCAATTTCAAAACGGTAAAATACAGCCCAATTTTTTACACTTGAAGTGCTTTCCGAAAACTGCCGAGATTTGCGATGTCACTCGGGGGAGCAAATTAGCGCAACAGACGATGTCCCATATTTTCAGTTATTTCTCTTCGTCTTACTTCATCAGCGTCATTTTTACTGTTTGATCTGTTGCCTCACTCTAAATTTAGGACATGGTTTTATTTTGAAGAAAAATGCAGCGTTAAAAAAATAAAGGAATCAGTTGTAGCTGCAATACTAATCGTAAAAAGACGACATTGTACATTTAGCTGCAAACACCAACGCATTTGGTGGGCTGATATTTTAGAGGTTTTCGTTAATCTATCATTTGTCCTTGCCCTGAATGTTTCTGAGCAAAATATTAAAATTATCAGCATCAAGATCACTTCCCTCTTAAAACTATCAGCATCAACATCACTTCCCTCTTAAAATTATCAGCATCAACATCACTTCCCTCTTAAAATGGTGTGAAATACGATCGCGTTTAAAATCAATCAAACGCTTATCATTGCCATATAATTGCACTGAATATTATGTTCATTTGTTATTGGACTTCTTCTGCTAAGCAGGGTTGGTCCCTAATGTGACGTCATCAAAACATCGCTAAGTTATTTGGCAAATTGTTCGTATATCCCAGATCCTGAGAGATGCATTTATATGTGTTATTTGTTCATTTTCCAAAATGCAGTTGAACTGAAACTTATACGATTGTTATCAGTAAGCTTCCTGGTTTCTAGTGATACATAATTGACCATATTGGTGACTTTGAATGAACGTCTACTTTAAAAGATTTTTATTTTGTTACGTTTTCTAAACTGATTTGTACCAACATACTTTGTTTAGCTGTTTAAAGGATGAGGCTCGACTAGCACATGTGCTATTATCTGGTCCCTTTTATCAACCAATAGTTTCTCTTCTTGTATATGTAAAATTTTCGTTGGAAATGTATGTATTGCTGTTGGTAAATAAATCAAATCAAAATCAAATTTGTATTTGCATAGTTTTTGTCATTCTAATTTTGTAATTACCATGATTATATTGTTTTATTGTTATTTTTCTTGAAATTGCCGAATAAATAATACAATACAATACAATACAATACCTGATGACAATATGGGGTCGCAGTGTCCCAATTTGTGACAATCATGTAGTGTGAAATTGATGAAATATCTCTAACTAACTAGTCTAATAACTGTAGATTTGTAAATTTTAAACTTGTTTATACACGGGCCTAAGACTAAATATACTATTTATGAGTAAATGAGGCCTACAAGTAAAATAACCATAATATTCAACCATTGTGATGACATTTAAGTAGGTAAATTGTGAAAAATTTAAAACAATGGGAATTATTATAGTAGATGAGAATTCTGAAGTGGAAGGGGATAACGAAGTGTAAAGAATAGTTTGTGTTCATGTCTTATATTGACAAATGAAAATCCAGAATTAACCAACAACCATTGATCTTTGTACCTTTAAGTATTGTTGTTTATGATTTGCTATTGTCACTTGGTATTTTATGTTTAATGCGTACTCATTGAATGGGAATGAATCAAAGACAACATTAAATGAAGAGCAAATCATTCATCTGTTTGATTTATTTCTCGATAACTCCTGCATCTCATATTGTATCTTATATTCTTCTTTTGTTACTTTAGAGGGTATAGAAGTTTTCATGAATGTATATATTTTCAACAACAAAAATTGAAAAAGGCTATTTTTTTTAAGAGTAATTAATTAGCAAATGGAGGAAATTTAACCGCACGACCTTCTGCATAATGTTTGTCCTTTCATGGGCATTTAAGTCGTTTTTTCTTATGCTCGAAACGCCACTAAACATTTACTGTACACAACATTTAAAAACGTGTACCGGATAAGTATATCATTAAGGCCTATAAATAGTCACTAAGTATACAATTTATTCATATATGAATCACTAATTCAACGTTACAGCAACAGTTGAGTCGTAAGTGCATTTATCATAAATCAAAGATATTAATTGATATTGATTGATAATATCAGTTTGTCATTGACTGTTCGAGTCTACTTTTACTAAATATATGAGTACTCTACGTTCAATTACAGTGAAACCTGTATATAAAGACCACTCAAGGGAGACAGGAAAGGTGTCTTTTAAAGGCAGGTGGTCCTTATGTACAGGTTTTTTAGGGATATTTTTCAATGAGAAACCATTCTCAAATGAAACGAAATATTGTTTTTTAAATAAACACACGGTCTGTCTATACAGGCGGTCGGTCTATACAGGCGGTCGGTATAGCAGATTTGACTGTATTATAATGTTTGTTATAGTCACTGATAATATTTTGATCCAAATAAATAATTAAAAGTTGTACCGATGCGATATTATTTTGTCTCGATTTCTTTCGTAAAACAAAAACACACGATTATTTGGATAATTGTACTTTATTTACCACTTCTTCAAGTCACGTACATGTATGAGACATAAGGTGTGTTAATTCATATGAAATACATCGATAAAATAAAACAATGAAAGTGTGAAATAGGAACAAATTATTTGTTTTGTTTTACTTCCAGTCAAATAAAACTGATTTTATTAATTTGTCATTATCCATTAAATATGTACATATATACAATACATTCGACAGGTACATATTAAACGTGTAATAATATTTAAATTGACAAATTAAATTTATACGCTGTAACAAATTACAAAGTTGTAACGACCTTGTAAATATTCAAGTGAACTGCAGGGATAAATTGGTCTATGGCGCCAAAAACCCGAATACATCTGGAGTAATAGCAGAAGCATGAGGGACAGACCAACTATGACATAGTTTGATAAGATTAAGCATTGAAGGGAAATGTCTTTTGCTGCAGATAAAGAGAACTTCTGAAGACAGAAATGGAGATTGACCTGTGTTTCACTAAAGATATATATTGTCTCATCGGCCTCCAAATCATCGGAAATAGATCTTGAATTAAAATACGAAAGGGGCCTTCTATACACCATCGGCTGGTCACTATTCATCAAGATTTGTACCAAATAACCACATTGTGATTTGAATTTAATCAAGCAAAAAGCAAGAAAACATAGTCATGACGGGAAATCTCGGGTAAATGGATATGTTAACGAAATAATTTAAGGAGAGAAAGCGAGAGGTATAAAGGGATGAAAACTATGGAGAAGACTAGAAACAGAAAGTTATGGAACATCGTGATCAATTAGAGAGAGAGAGAGAGAGAGAGGGGGGAGATAGAGAGTGAAATAGAGAGCGAGATTAATATACATTATACACACATGTATATATATATATAGAGAGAGAGAGAGATGGAGAGAGAAAGAAGGGAAAACGGTTGAAAGTTTCGGAAATTGTCTTTTTAAGATGTTTCGTAGTTGCCTGCAGTGTAGTGGTCTTAGCCTACATAGGATGCAGGAGGGGCTCAATTTGATTTTCTATGATTTTCTTTGTAACGGGTAGTTGAGACGTTTATGTTTTAATAGTACATACTTTGATTCTACAACATGCATCTATAACTAGCCTTCTGAAAAACAGTACATAGGACGATAACCCCCGGACAACCCTCTAGAATGGCAGCTTCGAGAATGGTCCGTTCACCGTTCTAAGGGTTAATCGTCAGTTGCCCAGGAAGGTTGTCCTAGGGGTGACTACCCTAAGGTTCTGCGGGATAACTGCCCTTAGAAAAGATGTTGACCGGGGGATTCGTTGTAGGCGTAGTTGTCTGGCCCGTGAAAGTAGTTGACTATCCAGATATGCTATTTTCACATAATGAAAGAATTTGCAAATGACAGAATTTAAGGGGAAAAGGAAAGAAAACCAGACAGACAGTTTAAAGACAAAGTTAATTGAGGAAAAGAGAAAGCTTTGCTCCGGCATTGCCATAAAACCTGATTAAAACAGAATGATGGAAGAGGGAGAGAGAGAGAAAGAGCTAGAGGAGACAAATTAATGTAAATTCATAATATCACTTATCAATATACTAGTTTATACTCAAGATCGGTATGGCATGTTATTTTTCGACCTAAATAGGATAGAAGTATGGGCATTTCAACGGCAAATAGGCAGAGAAGTTCAACCAGGTAAACTCTAATGCCACCATCGAAAAAAACATTTAGATCTACTTAACCGCGAAACGAAACGCCTATTGATAGGTCTATAAAGTCTTCCGTCAACACAAGCATGTCTATAATTTCTTAAGATTTATTGCCCGAGGTTAGAGGTTATATTAATTATTTTGATACTTTTTATAACTCCATTCAAAATATTTACCCTTTTTATGACAGGTCCAATGTTCCTCCCTGTTTTCTCGTGTTCATTGATCAACGCGAATTCATACTTAGTTCATGGGAGCTAATGAGACTAAAAGCACGTAAAATCATTAATCTTAAATCACAATGCATGTTTTAAAAACACGAGATGCAAATATTATAAAAGAGCCATTCTCTTATTATACTGAATTTGTAATCATGAATATTTCTCTCTACAATACATAAATCCGTTCTCAGGGGATTGAAATATTACTCTTCAAAACCTCTTGCTCTGTCCCGAGTTGCTCCGTCCCACGTCAGCTGCAGATGTCAACTAAGTTTTAACTATAATTGAATTAAAGCAAGAAATCGTCTTAACCTATACATTAAAACTGACCATTTTTAAAACAAAACTATCTGTTTTATATATATATATAGCTGCTTAGTCTACCTCAATGATTAAGTAAAATCTACCGATAGTATAAATTACTTGAGCGAATCTGTTTTGTTGTTGCCTACTTCAAAATATAAACCTATTAATATATATATAAATAGTGAGGTTGATCACCGAACTTAATTCAACTACAGAGTGATCGATTTCGTTTGATTATATGTGGCTTTCCGACATCAAGAATCCAATTTTGCATCAATAAATCTGCTGGTCCAGCACTGAAAAAATAATTATTGGTAAATTCCACCTAGTATAAAATAAGTACAAACCCAAATATTTACTAACAACCCAATAAGACGACGACAACAACGTATCAACTACAAACACTTTCTTGTTTATCTAAGGATGATGTGCTGCCATAAATGGGTTCTAAAATTGAATAAAGTTCGCGCGATATCATTTCATTGGTCGCCTGCGGAGAATCAAAAGGGCGTTCAATAACTCACCCAGCATCGAGCGAATGTCATTCTGGCTCTTACGATTTACTTTGTGGACTGACGGTTTATTAAGTGGACTACATTCTTTCTCTCTCTCTCTCTCTCTCTCTCTCTCTCTCTTTATTCTATTTTAGTCTTTCTTTCAGCGTTTGTGTTGCTCACTCTTCTCTCTCATTTATGTTATCTCTGTAAATATTAAACATTGTCTGACTCGTTAGATTACGCTCCAAATGAGAAAGAGTCATTTCATTGGAAACGTGCAGAGATTCGGCTACCACGATGATTTCTGTTCCAGGTGTGAGGAATATTGTCTTTTGTTTATTCCTGCTGCCATGTTTATGTAAGTAATATTTGCTATGATTATCTTTTGACTAATAATAGACAAGACAACCACATATAGACGAATAGAAATGGCAAATGTCCATGTAAGACGATGAATAATATTAATCGTCGTTTATATTCATCAGTGAAAAAACATTTAGGGCAGGTTTCGATTTGTTCCAGCCAAATCTTTCTAAAACCACTTATTTGTTTGTACATAAGTCCATGGTGTTTTAAAAAGTCAATTCAGGTGGGATGTTATTTTTTAATCAGAGAAAATTATAATAATAACAGATAAAACAAAATAGAAACTGATCGAAAGCAAGCCCACCGTGTTTTTGTTATAACGAACCGAGGATTATATTTACTAACACAACGAAGAAATAAGCTTTTGTATATGTGTTTACATATATTATTCAATTACTTCTATTAAGAAGATATTTAATTTCTTGATCTATTTCCGCCATTTACAACTGCATATTTTTGTATTTTCTACATTTAATAATTTGATTATTCTTCCTTATATATAAGGTCGTGAGGTTTTGACGACCACGCCTTCAACACCGACTGTCTCTAGTTTCGAGTGCGGATTTGAGATCAATATCGTTGACCCATTGTGCGGCATAACTCAAGAAACTACCGATGACTTCGAATGGATAAGGAAGACGAGTGATGATGATTCCTTCACGGATCCCCAACCTTCTACAGATCATACTACGGATTTAGTACATGGTATGAGATCTTCGAATATTTGTTCCTTGTTCTTAACATCACAATTAATTATAATTTTATTTATGAAGAGCTTAATTACAATGGAGCTAAATCCACTTTTGAAAAAAATTTAGTTATTGATATCAGAACATTGTTATAAAAAAAAATTATTTACCTAAATTTTGGGAACAATTATGAAAAAATGCACGTTCTTATATCACTTTTTCACAGAAGCCTGTACCAAATCTGGTAAACAATTTCTTTTTTTCTCCAAAGTTGCAAAAATGGATTTAGCTCCTTTTGGAATTAAACTCTTCATATATATTTATTGTATTGTGGGAATTGTAATTCATGTTCATATAAAAACGGCGTCGTTGTAGGAAATTGCTAAAGAGCAGATATTTTTTTCCATCACATTCCATTATTCTGAGATTTTGGTCTCGTGGGCCAAGCCCTCATGAACAGCCTTGACGACATTCAGTATACATCCATTAGTATTTCACTTATGCCAAATCTCTAAAAGTCCCCTTGCCCCCCCCCCCCCCCATCCTCTCTCCATTCGCTTCGCAGATAACATGCAGACACCAGACCCTTGCCGAAAATATATTTCCCATGATCAATACTGATACCTTCCAACGTTTTATTATCTAAGCTGATGTAATAAAAGACTTTAAGATGGGATCATAAAAGGGCATTTTCTAAAAAATATAGGTGACCATGTTGTTTCGTATTTTGAAAGGAAAGGGCTTGCAACGAACGCAAGCCAAAGGAAAGTCAGTAAATACATTTTTTCATATCTGCATGGCTTGCGCTTCGTAAACGCACAGACAATTACTATACCATAATTTGCAATCGATCTTTTTCTTTTTTCCCCCTTTTTCAGAGAGAGAAACAGAAATTTAACCCAGTATGTTTGTCTTGTTTTGTTATTCGTCGATGCCAAAAGCTTAATTAGTTACAAGTTAATGTTTATTCTCGTTTATTTTATTTTCTTCATTAAGGGCACTACCTCTACGCACCTACCGGTACTCTTCTGAATGGGCACTCGGGACAGATAAACATGCCCAACTTCGCTCAGAATTTCCAGTCACAATGTCTCGAGTTCTACTACCAAATCAGCAGTGACAATGCCGGACAGCTTAATATCTACCATTGGTTGTCGACGACGAGTATGCCGTCGACGACGAATTGGGAGAGGACGGGTAATACGGCAGGCGTCTGGAATCGGGGGATCTTCACTATTGATCCGCAGTCAGACAGTTATAAGGTTGGTTGGTCTTTTACGGTTTTTAGATTTTCTTTTACGGTTTTTATGTTTCTTTTAAAGGGCCACTCTAACAAAAAACGGGCTAACAAATGGAAAAAAGACATGTAGATTAATTTTTGATGGAGATTCCGAACATGACAATGATTTTTCTCAGAAATCATCAATAATTCAGGAATCTAGCTTTAGAAATGACGACTCAGACCGCTCAGGAAAAAAAAATCCCAGTTTCGGAGCTGTATTGCTTAATAGCATATGACGTCACTGCAGGAGCCTCTCCGGTGAAAAAGAGAGTGATTTAGGCATTCAGATGTCTATATAAAGGCAAACAATGATATTAATTGAAGAAAAAAAAAGATATTGATCCGAAAAATAATATGCACTTGATAATCCCAGAGTGCGTTTCTGGCAATTTCGTCATTCCTAATTATCAAATTTTCAAATTATCAAATCGGACATGCCCGCAATGACGTCAAATGCGTCATTAAGCCACGTGACCGTATTACCCTTTTTTTCGAGGGGCGTAGCCCAGCAAGCGTGAGATCTGTGAAAAATGGATGGTTATTATCATTTTTGGGCCTTGTTTCAGAGGTTTTCTGAAAAATCAGAGGCTGGAATATTAATAAGTAGAGGTGTTTTCATGTTTTAAAAGGCTATGTTAGTTGGTTAGAGTGGCCCTTTAAGGTCTATACTTTTTGTTTTACGTATATTTTTACGGTCAGTTTGTATTTTACGGTTAACGGTTAGTTTTTCGTTCTCGGATAAGAGTCTTTTCATAAAACAAGGAAGATTGTTGCCCCCAATGATAATGGATACACTCATCATCCTGTCTTAACTTGGGGATGGTCTGTCATCGAAGCTAGGTCCAGCCTCATATATTATTATATATATTTTGCTTTTCTGCTCTTGAAAGGGAGTGGGTTTTGTTTAGGAACAAATTTACTAACGTTTGAGGGGTGAATTAGGGAATAAATCGCTCCTGCAAAAAGTCTGATCTGATCTGATTGTACTAGCTTATGGTTGTGGAAAATACAAGATAGACAGGAATAAAGACAAAAAAGTTTACAAAATGAACAAGTAATTACCGTTGAATTAAATAATTAAAAAAATACTAGAATTAAACAAACATCGATGTCACCGCCCCCTCGCCACATCGACACCCGAGCTTGTACCTTTGTAGTTTGTTCTGTCCTAGACGGAAATAAAAAATGTATTTAAGAACGCTGTCTTCAACTTGGGGGTCTACGAACTAGAGAATACTAAATAAATGATAGGCTTTTTATGGCAGATTCTTATCTTTAATGGTAACAAATCTTTATGATCAGTTGATCACGAGTGAGGTGTGAAAATAAGTGGCAGAACTAGTATCCAATGACTTAGGGGCATAACTATGTTCCAAAATGTTCCGATAGGCCTTCAGCAAAAGAAGAAGAAAAAGAAAAAGAAACTATCACTTTCCCTATTCATATTAAGCATAAGTACGTTTCAACAGTTTATTTTTGACAAGTTTTCAAATTTGTCATTGTGTAGGGGGAGGGTATATAACATTATTGACGGCGACACACGAGCGATTATGCTTATATGCATATTTGGTTCAGGACACGTGCCTGCTCAACCAATGGGATATGCCTCCTGGTGGAATATGCAAGTGTAAGGGCATTTGGGTTTCGTACACGATGGCCCGAATTCACAAAGGAGGTTTGTCGACAAACCTTGGTTTTCGTACGTCATATGACGCGTTTTACGCGTTTTTTACAAACCTGGTTTGTAAAGAACAAAAGGAGGTTTGGCGAAACAAAAGGAGGTTTGAGCTCAAACCTTGGTCTGAGCTCAAACCTTGCTTTGTGAATTCGGGCCGATGAATATGACGGATTTAATCGTCAATCTTACTCAAATCCATGATTATTCTTAAATAAGTTTACACATACTCATGATTTTGGGGCTATTTTATTTTCTAAATACACTCTTACGCAACGTAGTATTTGAAAAATGATATACAGAACTTTGCAAAAACGATCAAGGTATCATCATAAACGTTTGACATATTTTTGTTTTTGCATCAGTCTATCTGCGCATGGGTAGATAAAGGAAATTTGTACAAAACTGCAAAACCAGCCATCGAGACTAATAATGGATACGTGTTCGTGACAGTTATGTATTATCATTATTTATTAATGCACCAACGGTATATCAAAATTGGAAGTATACTTTGAAGAGAGCAAAAAGAGATACTTATCAAGCACTTCTACCACTGTGGCACTGATTTTTCTAGCATGCACAAAACAGGACTGATCCATTTATAAAGAATCTGTGGATGTTTTTTATTCTAGATTTTATCTAAACTTTTATTCATTTCCAGTAAATATGAAAACGTAGGTTATATATTTACAGGTACTTATTGCATTTAAATTAATTTTGTTTCAGGTTTCATTCGAAGCTATTGTGGGCATAGACGAAAGGGCTTTCATTGCAATGGATGACGTCACGATAAGTGATGGCTCATGCCCAGTGGGTAAGATTATACCGTATAACTCAATTATTGTCATCTTACTTGGTGACATAATTTTTCGAATTTTTGCATTTTTCTTCGTTCTTATTCCCTCAGACCTATGAAGAGCTTCCGAATTCACTCAAATAGAGAGTTATGTTTTTCCTCGATAAAAATTTCATGGTTTGTTATTGGTCGTCTCACTCACAGTAGCATTCGACCCACCCTATTTACCAGAGGATGAAAAGTTGATAATGCTTTTATAGGCTACTCTTAAAGGTACAAAGAGGTCCAATACCATTAAACTTGGTCTTGTGTTCGCCTATGTGGTCCCCTGAAAATAGTTCGAGGTTCACATCTGAATCACAGTGTTCTAAGAGGGCAACAAATTTGGTCCTTTTGCAGAGCTGTAGTTGCATATCAGATCTGCTTGATATAAGCTTTCAGATAATATATACCCTCATAAACACAAAGGCACTCGCCATACGCTCGTACGTCCCACCCACCCACACCCACTTAAAAGCACTCGCACCCTAACATCCATCCCCATGCCCCACACACATGCAAATATACGCACACACACACACACACACACACACTCTAACGCCAACCCACACCCACATCATCTACAAGCACATCAGTGGGACCATTGATCTGATAAAGTTGTAAAACAAAAGTTAGCAAATTTTATTTACATAATATACGATTGCAAAAACAAAGAAACACCAACGCGTGCACACACACACATCCGCACACGCCTACACAAACACACACATACACATACTCCTACACATATCATGACGCAGTGTAACTTGTTATCTTCATTCACTGTAATTCTGAAGAACTTTTCAAGAACAACAATTATCTGATAAATTATAAAACAACACTTAGCAAACTATTTATGCCAGACCAAAGTTATGGAACAAATTGCCTCAAGAACTTCAAATATGCCCAACAGTGTGAATTTTCAAAAGAAAGTTTAAGAATATATCTTGTAATAAATACGTATAACTAGGATTTTTTTTTAACATAAGTGCCTTTTCTGTTTTGTTTTTTCGTTTATTGTAATGGATTTGTCTGGTTTAATTCTATATGTTGATGTTTTGTGTCATTTTAATTTTTGTATTTCTATCTTGTTTTTAATATATTTAAGAAACCTTTTATGTAATTTTATTATGTTTAGGAATAATCTTTATAGGCCATTGGCCTCTGTTTTTCCTACCACATTATGATTTCAATTGAAGATGTTTCATTTTAACGCTTGTTATTGTTTAGCCTATATGTATATAAATTATACTTGTTTTTATTTTTTAAATCAGAATGATGTGGAAATAAAAATTGAACTTGAACTTGAACTGTAAATCTTGTTTTCCTTTGCAGAGAATTTTACTTGTACATTCGAGGAAGGCATGTGTTCCATCGTACAGGACCAAACAGATGATGTCGACTGGTACAGATCTCAGGGTTATTCAAATATCGTCTATTCTTCGCCTTCTGTGGACCACACACTTGGAACAGATAAAGGCAAGTTACAGATTAAACATTGCCCCGAAATATGGCTTACTACTACTACTACTACTACTACTACTACTAATACTACTAATACTACTACTACTACTACTGCTACTATACTACTACCACTTCTACTACACTACTACTACTACTACTACTACTACTACTAAACTACTACTGCTGCTAACACTACTACTATAATACTACTTCTACTACAATACACTGCTATACTATTACTACTTCTACTTCTACTAAACTGTTACTACTACTACTACTACTGCTTTTACTATTATTAATCTTATTTCAACTTCTCACTTCTACTACTACTTCTCACTTCTACTACTACTACTGTGTTCTATTAGGATTCTATTACTTCTACAATTGACGGTAGGCAACCGGTTTGTCTGATCCCACATGTATTTTTTATGAATGCGCTGACTGTCTGGTGGAAAACGACATAGAGAAAAATGGAGGCAGTGCAGGCGATTTAATTTATAAGAGTCACTGGCTTCAACCTTTCCATTTGACGATGACCATTCACGATGACCATTCACGATGACCATTCATCCATACAGGTTACTATGTAGTCATCGAAGCGGTGTTCATGACTGTAGACGACGTTGCCCGGTTGATCACACCGACTCTTCGGGGTGTAGCTGATGGGAGTCCACAAGCTTGTCTCACTTTCTTCTATCATATGTTTGGACCGGGTGTTGGTGAGCTCAAGGTGTACGTGGTGCCTCTCAGTACCGATATGGGAGATCCTGCATGGGTGCTGTCCGGAAACAGGGGCGATACGTGGAGAGGAGCCGAGGTGGACATCATCTTGGACACTGATTTTACCGTAAGTCTCGTCACATTACGTCATGAAACAAGGGAAATTATCATCAAACGATACACTTTGGATGGCACAGTAAATTAGTGGTCAGAGTTGTGTTTGGAGGGGGGTATAGCCTATCCTTTAATGGTAGTCCTACTAAAGTTAAAGATTCGGTGTTAAATGATGAGGCATGAAGAGAATTTTGAAAGATTCGTTAAATAGAGCGGCGACAAATCGTCTAACGTTTTTCGTGTGATTTGATTCCTTAAAACTGATATTGTGTTAAACGAGAAAAATATGCAATTAGCCAAAATATTACCGACAAGAAAAACTCAACTTCGTGAGGAAACTCAACCATTTACGGACAGCATTAAACTTCTCCTCCAGCCCTAACCACCTCAACCCTCATACCTTTTGTTCTTTTTCTTTAACCTGTGCTCTCGTCTCCTCCCAAAACTACCAGTAACCGTAGGCTTGTAACTATTGCCTTACTAATACATCCACCAAAATCACTCTACCAGTGCCTCATTCTGTACTACCTAAGCTTTCCGACTCTATATACCTTCACCTATCACTCTCACTATACCGCCGAGCTCCGAAGACAATGGATGAAGGACAAAAAGAAGAAGGATAATGTGAAATACACGTGCATTTAATCGAATCAGAGCCTTTTTTATACACCCCGGGGGGGGGGGGCGTTTCACAAACTTGTCATCAGTGACAAATGACAGTTTTTGTTATAAGCTACTGAAATCCTTGCTTGTGATTGGTTATCAACAGATTTGTCACTGATTTTTGTCATTTTTCATTGAAAAAAGTCTTTGTGAAACGGTTCCCAGTTTATATAATGACTTACTATCTACTCTAGATAGCTCTCCGATGTCTCTTGATAAATAGTTTTAGTCGTATAATAGTTGTTAAAAGAAAAGCTATTACATGTGAACATTTACACATTTTAATTCATGAAAAGGAAACAAAAAGTATGCGGTAGGGGAATTCTCTGATAGGCTGATGTTATATAATCAGTATCTATTGTGCAATTTTTTTGACACCGTACCTTATTTCTTCTATTCCTTTCAGATTGTGTTTGAGGCCGTACGAGGTATAACTTATATCGGCGATATCGCGTTGGATGACCTCAGTTTCCAGAGGGGAGACCAGTGCCCTGGTCATTGTAAGTGCTTTACACCTAATAATCATCTTACATGTATTTTCATTTGCTGAATGACAGTTTCTAATAGTCCTCCACGATTAATTTAGACATGTATGCAGAATAACTTCCTTTGCAGAAATAGGTCTGGCTGTTTTATAGTTTTAAAAGTATATCCAAACCGACATCATATCTCTAGGCCAAAGCAGAATATTTCCTGATCCACAGACACTTTAGTCAAGGGCATAGGGCTCGAAGTCAAATCCTAAGAAATTTTCTTGTGTCCGTGCACCAACTTTTCTTCTATCTCTAGTCTTTTCAGGTTTTATGTTTCGCATTGAGAAGTAAGCAATCTTAAAATTAACTCTCCAAAATAACCCTAAACCGAGAAACAAAGCGAGCCCGAGACACATTCTACATTAGGCTCTATCAATACATGCTTCGCTAATTCTTTTGCAGTCAATATCCTAGACTAACCGAACCGAAGGAATAGCGGGGGCATATACCCACCTTGTCCCTATAGATACGACAATCCTTTTGAGATAAGTCTCTCTTCTTTAAAGACACGCCTCCATCTGATGACAAGCAGGCGACCTGTGACTTCGAGGAGGTGGAGATCTGCGGATATGAACAAGACCAGAGTGATGATGTTGACTGGATCTGGCAGAATAGGGCTGGTCTTTGGATTAATGCTGGACCTCAGTACGACCATACCACCAAAGATGAGTTTGGTATGTAAACAAAAACTGGTGATAAAGTTCTGAATCGACACTCATAAGTAAATAAGCCTTTTGTACTTGAAAACTCCTTTACTGAATAGTAACAATGTTGTCCATTTCAAAACTCGACAGTAAACAAACAAAGAATCAAACTAAAAGTATATTTCGAAATAATTGTGTATTGTTCCAATGTCATCAATATATTGTGCAAACCTTGAATCCCTTCAGTTGAACACAAAATAGCGAAAACCTACTGAAAACTGCATAACATGACATTTGCCAACATGGTTATACAGGCCTACAGAGGATAGAAACGTCCGCGTGGACATAGTCCCAAGATCAGAATATTATCTTTAAAATCAGAAGACTTATTCCAGACAAAGCAGATATTTTATCAAAGGTGCGATCCCTTATTGGAAATTCATCCACTACATACTGTGTTGCTTTTCTTTCATTAGGGTTTTACTTATTCTTATACGGAGACGTGGGACATCGCCTGACTGCTTGCATGATCTCCCCAATCATACCGAGCCAAGCTAGTCAAGCCTGTCTCGATTTCTGGTGGCATCTCTATGGCAACGATGAACAAAAGCTCAGCGTCTACTGCGTCAAGGACGGCGAAGATATCCCGGAGACACCTCTTCTTAGCATATCCGGTAACCATGGTGACCAGTGGCGAAGGAGCCTCTACCAGATCCCAATTGAGCTCACCCCATGTCGCGTAAGGATTCTTAGTTTATCATACAAGTAAAGACCATGATAATCACTTGTTTAATGTTGAATTTCTTTTCCTCCTCAATAAAACATTAGTGTATACTCTATTATTACCCGTCTTATAACAAACAGCACATGCAATGACGATTTGTTTCTTTTCTAATCTTACATAGCATGATAGGGTGTCCTTCCGACTTCATTATTGTCTTCTTCTTTTCTCTCTTTACATTGTTTATTATGTTTGTTCTAAATGTATATTTATATTATGTTGTAAATGTTATGTATATATATCATGTTTTTATTGTAAATTCGGAGAATAAATAAATCAAATCAAATCAAAAATCAAAGGTAGGTAGGTAGGTATAATTTATTTATTCACGGTTAAAAACATAATACAAATGTGCCCGCATTCAGCAAAAGCTGTTTTTCAGCAGGGCCGTGATTACATATAACAGAAAATAAAACAATGAAAATACAATTTACAAACAAATATGCAATTTATAAGAAGTGAACATATTTACAGAAATTTAAGTATAAAATAGAATCATAGTGATAAAGAGAGGGGGGGGGGGGAATTATCTACGAGATGGAAGAAGTGAGCAAATATCTTGAATTTTACTAATCTCAATGTTGTAAGATTTAAAAACATTTATAATTCTGATATCGTTGGGTAGGGTATTAAAGAGTTTTGATGCATGATATAATGGACTATGTTGAATAAAATTAGTGTGAGGTCTTGGAAGGGGGATTTGTGAATTTGCGTAACGGAACCTATAGCTTACATTAGTATTAAATTGGATCAATGACGATAAAACAGGTGGACCAAGATTATGTAACAACTTAAATATAGTAACTAAAGCCTGTTTGACCCAGTATTCTTTTAGCATGTCAATTTCAAGGGTTTTATAAAGAATTTCAGTGTGATATCTACTATTCACTCCAAGTACAGATCTCAAACACCTATTTTGTAGAGTTTGAAGTTGTTTTAACCGAGTTTCTCTACCGTTCATCCAAATCGTGCTGCAATAAGCGAAATGAGGCTGAATTAAGGTTTTGTACAGTATTAATGCTATCTTTTCATCTGTGAATTGTCTCATTCGCTTTAGAGCAAAATATGTCTTTAAAACCTTTTTCTTTACATGGTCTATTTGTGGGTTCCATGAGAAATTGCAATCAAGCAAAATCCCAAGATATTTGCATTCCATTACTCTAGTTAATTTTTTGTTATTCAGACGAATATCAATATTACAGAAACGACTCAAATTTGACTTTGAGCCGGTTAACATGACCTGACATTTGTCAACGTTAAGCAACAATTCATTATTTGAAAACCATTTCGTAGCTGATTTCAAATCATCATTGATTACTTTCTCTAATATCTTTGGGTCTTTTGATGCAAAATACATGCAAGTGTCATCCGCATACAGAGAAAGGGAACATTTGTTGATTGATTTATATAAATCATTCAGAGTGATAATAAACATCAATGGCCCAAGGATACTTCCTTGGGGCACTCCACTTGTTACTTTCCTGCTCTGTGACATGCTACCGTCTACCAAAGTGCATTGTTCCCTATCATGGAAATAATCCTGAAACCAGCATATTGAATTTTGATCAAAACCATAATATCTTAGCTTTTTAAGCAAAATCTCAAATGATACAAAATCGAATGCTTTTTCTAAGTCAAGCGTTACAATACCTACTACATACCCATTGTCTAATTGTTTACAAACATCTTCTGTGAGAGATAAGAGTGCAGTCAAAGTCGAATGTTTTGGGCGGAAGCCGTGTTGGTTATGACATAATAGTTCATTCTTTGAAAGGTAATCATACACTTGATTAAACACAAGTTTTTCCAGCACTTTAGATAATACAGGTAAGACCGATATTGGCCTATAGTTGCAGGGATTAGCTCTATCACCACCTTTGTGAATAGGCGTCACCCGGGCCTTTTTCCAGACACAAGGAATTTTCCCCTTTCTTAATGACGCATTGATGATATGAGTTAGCGGTTTAACAATGTATTCAATAGAATCTTTTACGAAACTGGCTGGTATTTGATCGAGGCCAGTGGCCTTATTCCTTGCAATATCATGAATACATTTCAAAACCTCATTATCTGTAATCTCTTTAAACTTAAATGTTGAGTTTACTTGGGTCATATACTGATCCATATTACCACCAAATATTTTGGTTCCCTTCCGTTTAGATGGTAAATCTACAAAATGGTCATTCAAACATGATGCAATATATTTTGATCCTGTTATTTCTTTTTTGTCAATAATTATCTTTTGAAATCCGCTATCATTGACTTTTTTAGGTATGATACGTCTCAATGATTTCCACATTGCATTTAATTTACCTTCATTATTCGAAATGCTTTCCGAAACATATCTCTTTTTAGATTCCCTAATCATTGATGTGACAGTATTTCTTAGTGTTTTATACATCACCCAATCATTCGATGACCCTGATCCTTTAGCTTTTCTTTTCATTCGATCTCTTTCTCGCATTCTACTTAAAATTTCATTATTCATCCATGGTGAATCTTTATGACGAATTCTTTTTCTTCTTAATGGAGCATGTTTATTTAAAACTAAATTGAACTTAGAGCTCCATTTTTCAAAAGCACTGATTGGATCAGGGTCAGAAAGTACATCATCCCAATGAACATTACAGAGATCCAATTTAAATTGAGCTAAATCGAATCTTTTCGTATTACGACTATACATGTACTTATGATGTGTTTTCATGGTTCTTGCTCTACCAAGATTACATACTGTCATAAAATGGTCGCTCAAACTCAGAGGGATGACATCGCTAAAAGAAACTTTCTCATGATTAGAAGAATAAAACACATCAATTAGTGTCTCAGTCACACAGGTTACTCTTGTTGGCTTATTTATGTATTGTTTTAAATCATATTCCTCACTTAAACGCTTCAGAGTTTTCGTTTGACTTGACATAGGTCTTTTTGATAAATCACAATTGAGATCCCCAAAGATAATAAAATCCTTAGAGGATGACTCTAAGAGTTGTAACAAAGTTTCAAATTTCTCGAAGTGTGCATTATGGGAATTTGGTGGTCTGTACCAATAAACTATTAAGAAGGGTTTTTGCTTTGGTAAGCAGATCTCCAAGCACATTAGTTCCAAACCATCAACAAAGAATTCATATTTTATACTGAATGGTACGGTGTCTTTAATATAAGTTATAATTCCACCGCCATTTTTATTTCTATCTAATCTCACAATTTTATAACCTGACATGGATATTTCAGGGTCAGAAATAAAACCATCTAATCGCGTTTCACATAAAGAAAAAATATGAATGTTACATGTGGTTAAAATATTACGAATCTCTTCAAAATTCTTCATCAGAGAGCTAACATTTAAATGGCAAATATTGATACCAGAGAGTGAATTCAGCTTTTCAAAACATTTATCGACACTTTCATAGTTACATGCACCCGAATTTCGAGAACAAATATCAGGTTCATCGACGTATCGAGGGAGTTCTTTAAGAATACAAAAATTACACATCCAATTGGCATCAGAGTTAAACGTATCAGTAGATGCACGAGAACATCTCAGATGAGCCCATTTGTTACAATGTACACATAATAAGGCATTATGATATTCTTTCACTTCTTTTCGGCAACCTATACATGGAAATTTAACGTGAGTCAGATTAATTTGTCCAGGCATGATTGATAATTAGCTATCGAAATAAAACAGAGTGGGAAGGGAGTTCTTACAAGTTTTCAATGTCTTGTGTGGTCCTGATCCTGGTCTTTTTTGAGTCCCTTGTACTTAGAGCGAAGATGTTTCCATCCTGAGTCCAGCAGGACTTAGACTTCTTGCTGTTTACAAGTTCCCAAAAGAGGTTAGCTCGCTTTGTAGTGAGATCCTCCTTTAGCCAGATTTTCGGTCCATCTGAATTCTTCAGTCTCGTCCTGGCTCTGTACACATCATTACGGACATTATATCTGCTAAATTTCACTATGATCGGTCTCGGTTTGTTCCTCCTCGTAGTACTCGCGTACGTTGGCGAAGTCGATGGCTCACGTCCCTCATCAGCAGCGTGGCTCGGACGTGGAGAGATGCGGTGACTGCGATCTATCGCGTCCGGTTGAACTGTAAAGCCGAGCTTCGTATTGAACAGATGTAGAACGAGTTCATCTGTCTTCACTTCTGGTCCTTCGGGAATGCCATATATTCGTAAACAATTTCTCCTACTATATTGTTCTGCATCTTCTTTCTCATCCTGTAGCACTTTTGTTTCCTTCTTCATTTCAGCTATTTTCTTTTTCATGGTTCCTACTTCATCTGTGTATTTCTTCAAATCCAAACTGACAGCTTGATACACTTTCTCCACAACTTGCTCCTCCAATTTAGCTGCTATTACGTTGTATACATCGTCCGCTATACGGACGAGAGGTCGTCATTTGACGATTCTCTTTCAAACAAAATGAAGAAGTTATAAATATATATCTGTCAACTCTCATTCTGTTTATGTAATATGTTAAACAAAAATAGCCTCTTTAACCTTTCATCTACAATAAATCTTTATGTTTTCTTCCTTTACGATATCCTCCAGTTAATCTTTGAAGGGACGACTGGCATCCATATGCGTGACGACATAGCTATTGATGACGTCAGTGTCCTTGAAGGCCAACAATGTCCAGAAAGTAAGTAATGTCACATTATTACTTTTGCCGTTTTATTATGTAAAGATTAAAAGTCGGCTATTACATATAGAATATCAAAACTATGAGAAGTTTCTTTTATTTCACTGCCACGTTTCTGGAAAATATAACCCCTTGGGAAACTCCCTTTACACACCCTACCAGTCAATATCTGTATATAGTGTGGCGACAGAGATGTCAGCTGGGAATGATTAGCAAAAGCAAGCATATTAATCAAACGATTATCCTCTCATTACCAGTAAACGACATGGTATAAGGGAGAACTGTATGATCGATAATAAGCAGAGGATGGCTTCAGTTTTGACGATGATAATAAATATATTTATAGCGCTAATATCTACCACCGTGGAGACGCTCCAGTATTACATCGGCTCTAGCAATAGGCTAACGATTGAACTACGACACCATGATGACAGCGGGAATTATTTGACCACGCAGGTAATAGAGGGGTTTCTCCAGCTACAGTGGAGCGTACATGATCATCATCTTTTACCAAATATTCGATGGAAGATGCCCGATATTTTTTGGCAAGATGATAAGCAAGGGATTAATGCAAGAGTAGCAACATGCTGCTGAATACGAGAGATATGTATAAACCGTCTTGTCTTCAAGCTAGATATAATTGATGAAGAATGGCGTCGACCTTAGCTGAATCCATGTTGAGATAGATGTGTTGGTGTCTTGAGGCCAGGTTTATGTTATTGTTAATACCTGAAATGCAAAACCCGAGACAGAATGAAGCAATTTGAAGAGATTTGCTTGGATTTCTTCTCTTTTTTTCTCCACAAAAACATGAGTCCAGTTTTAAGGTCTTTTGCTTGGGATCCTTTGTTCGTTCTGAGTAAGATTGCATTCACATTATGTAAATCATTTTTGTTATACTCTCTTCATTTATGTTAAGATCCTACGGTTCTTCCAACGACCCTGCCTCCTTCGACCAGCAATGTCGACTGTAATTTCGAGAGCACGAGTGACGCTATGTGTGGATGGACCCAGAGTATACGAGATGGATTTGATTGGATACTCCACAGTGGACCGACCAAGAGCTATAACAGTGGTCCTGACGTCGACCATACTCTACAAACTGACCAAGGTAAAAACTGACCGCGGGCTCTCGGTCTAGTGGTCTTTAACATCTGAGTTCGTTTTATAAACTCATCTAATTTATAATAATAATAATAATAATAATAACACTAATAATAATAAATAATATGTCTTGTTTACCCAGGGTAGCCTCATCAGTATTCATACTGTTCTCCCTGAGGGCCCTGCAATTATATTATTACCCCGGTCATCGGATTCAGGCTTACCTGCACAGAATGTATGCACGTTCTCCACTCCCTGGGGAGCATTCTAGCCAGGCGTCATTTTTACAAGCGCACACTAATTGCTAATCTAAGCACATTAGCTTTCGCATCCTAACCTGGAAAATTTTATAAATAAATTAGAATGATAATAATCCTTTCTACGACTCTTTGATGGGACAAATACAAGGCACGATGGAAAAGACTTTCTTATCTTCTTTCTGCCTCAAAGGTCATTACATGCTGATAGACTCTTACGAGGATCTGCCAGCTAATACCAGAGCGGTGATCAGTTCCCCGCTGATTTCGCCTGCCACCAATATCCGCTGCTTCAAGTTCTGGTACTTCATGGACGGCCTCAACTCCAACTTTCTCAACATCTTCCTCGTACCCTACGGCTACACCCAGTCTAATGATCCCAACATCCAGCTCTACGGCAACATGGGTTCGCAGTGGATGGAGGGTCAGATGACAGTAACTTCGTCCACCAGGAGTTTCTATGTAAGCTCCTAACTTCTACTTGATCATTTAAATTCAAATACATTGACTACAAGTACATTTGATTGCTCGGGGCGATTTCAGTTCCCTCTTGTGTACTGCATATAGAAATCATACTGAGATTTCGTAACATGTCATTATCAAAAGCTTATTCGCACTTTCAATTGGTGAAGGCTATTGAATACGTTTTTTTTTTTTTTTAATATTTGTAAAAGTGCTGTTATCTGAAATGTATCCCCAAAAGCATTTGCGGTTACCAACAAGGTGAGTCAAAATGTAACATTCATTTATGTTGTTAAATATTCCAAATATCAGTATAGCACTCAAAATGATCGTTTTTAAAGTTTATTCTCGTATCATCATTGATGCAGATCATCGTTGAAGGAGCAATAGGTCAATATTCATATTCGGCTGACGTAGCTGTTGATGACTTCTCGCTTGGAAACGGCATATGCACAGGTAATGTGACAGATGATTTTGGATTAACTAAACGTCTTCTATTGAACACACGAGTCATCATTTCGATTGGGTTATTAAGCGCGTTAATCGAATCCGTAAAAGCAAGGAGCTCAACAAAATGTTTGTATTATTCATTTTGCACTCACCTTTTGTATGATGTCACAATACAAGGTGTCCAAGACTGGCTTAGCCCTATGTCATCGAAATGACGCCTCGTTTGCGACGGGAATAGGATAAAGAAGGTGGTATAATTTCCATGCCTGTCAATGATTTATCTGGCAGGGGTATCATGTCTTTCTCATTCTGCTAGAGGGAAATGTTTATTGTATTAATCTGGGAATGTCCGTTGCATGATGGGATTGTGGCATCGTGCGAAGGCTCTCCTCGGTGTAGGATTTGGAGTATCGGTTTTATCGTGTATTAGTTTGGACCCGCTAGAGCAGCTCAACTTGGAACTAGGACTATGCAAATAAAGAAAAAAGAACTAAATATCAAATGGGATAAATGCTATCTATTCCAGAACCCTATGGATTACACTCAAGAAAATATAAAACAAATTAGAAATAATTTAGATACCATCCTGGAACATAACAATTCTAACATCGGCAGCCTGCACTAAACACACGGGTAAAGCTAATGAGGACTGTGTTTACCCTCACACTACTTACATATCTAGCATTCTTTGCATATTATAATTACACTATAATCCGTCGGAAATCATGGATAGAATACCAAATGATGTTGTATATAATTATAAAGTATATATACATACATATATATATATATATATATATATATATATATATATATTTATATATATATCTACCGGTGTATACATGTATATATATCTTTTGATACAAGGAGAAGATAATATGAGACTATATCTAACATGTTGTTTCCAATTTTATTTTTCCTATCAAAACTGTACATGGGCTTAAAATAGAATAGATCTCACATAATATCTGTTTAGTGTTGGCAATTTTACCATTATCCAACCTTATTAACCTCGTTGTTTTTGTAGGATCTCCACTACCGAACTACCCTTTCGTCGCCAACTGTAATTTCGAAGATGGCATATGCGGTTATACGCAGCCGAATGAGGATTCTACCAATGAAGATGACTTCGACTGGTTCTTGAATTCTGGACCAACAGGGACCGATGGATCTGGACCTAGCGCTGACCATACTAAAGGAACAGCTGATGGTTAGATCCAGATTCTTAATCTCTTACGCAATGAGCATGGTTTCTATAGTATACTTGGAGTTGTTACATTGATATACCTTGCCCCCGTCTCTTGTTATGTTGGATTCAAATCAATCGCAGCTTGATATCAATTGCAAGTTACTCCCTGAGACGGGAGTTTGTAAGTTTACTATGGATTGGAGGATAGAAGACAAAGCCCTGCTATCAAGAATATACCATCGTGAAATAGAGTTATCATTGTATACTTTCAAGTATGATAGAAGAACGAACAGTTTAAGGATTACATCGCAATATGATTAAATGATATTAATGATAAGGCAGTAATCGAGAAAAGAAATCCTCTACTTTAGAAACTGTTCGACCGCCCCTGTATGGGCTGTACTCGATGGTCTATTTGCTTTTTCAAAAAAGACATGAATGAACAATTTTCGCAGATATTTTTGACGCTACTTGACGGATGATCAATCTTCTACTGGTGTCCAAACTACAATCAAAACTTAACATAATCATTTTGGAATTCATATTGTCATTTTCACTTTCAGGTCAATATTTGTACTTGGAAGCTTCTCAGCCTCGTCGACCAGGTGATCGAGCTCAACTCATCTCCCCGGTGATCGACTATTTCAACACTACTTACTGCTTGGTTTTCTTTTATCATATGAGTGGTGACGACACAGGTTCTTTGACGGTAGTGCATCGTGGTGATTACTACCCTGATGAAGAGATTGCTCGCCTAACTGGTCCGGCTGGGACAGGGTGGAAACCGTACAACGTTGATGTCGGTATCAAGTACGGACCTGTGGAAGTGAGTGCTGTAGATTTCTTCGTTCAGTTGCTGGGGGAGTATAAGTCGTTACTTTGCAGTCTTTACTTTCTTTCTGCAAATCTCTGTGCCATCCTTTCAAAAGAACATGGTCTAGTAGCGCCCCTGGATCAAGGTTTTAATGGTCAGAATAAATCGCGGACTGTCCGCAAAAAGACCGCAAACGCTATCCTCCTTGCGACGAAATGCATCATTTATATTTTAATATGAATCGTAATTAGTATCTTTATCTATCGAGTTTACTGTGTAATCTTGATTTTTTTTTTTGTCTTTCTTTCCCGGGAGCCTTCTTTTGGAGACTCTTTCAAGCATTAATTTTACAGAGCGATCCTATCATGTGAACTTGTCGGCTGTGTGTGGTTTTCTCATTTGATTTTACCTGAAGGTCCTTTTAATTACAATGTGTATAATAAAGAAAGTAACTAAGAATAAATATTTAATCTTAGACTGTTAGACTTAAGCGTTTTTCTGAACTTTACCACCCCTGCCCAAGGAGCTGGAGTCGTCTTGGTATAGTGATTGATTCACTGGACTCTCAATCCAAAGTGTTGACGGATTTGAATTTCAGTCTGACACTACCGTCCTTTGGCAAGACCTTAATCTACATTTGCCACTCCCCACCAAGGTGTGAATGCGTATCTGGCAGTTACTGAGGTAAAATATAAATTACAGCATTGATACTAATGAGACTTCCCTGGATAAACAATGACATATTATTAATAGTAGCGGTAGGACTACTATAATACACCCCTTGTTTTTTAAACGAAATATAGATAGATTCTAACGAGCACTCCGCCCCATTTCTATTAAGATTGTTTTTACAGGTGTGGTGGGAAACGGTTACCGCGGTGACATTGCTTTAGACGACATAACCTTAACACCTGGACTATGTAGTAGCCGTTCTGATACGGAGATCATATGTAACTTCGAGAATGGCTTCAGCGACAGGTGTAGCATGCAACAAGACACCAATGACCAAATGGACTGGGCATTGTATGATGCGAGCACCGGAGACACGCCTCCTATTGATTGGCCCGGTAAGGATTGTTAAAGGTGGAATCCAGGATTTTATATAAGTATGGCACGCACAACGCTCTTTCAAAATTGCTGATAAGCAAAACAAGAAAGACTAAAAGTTATCTTCTGAAAATAAAAAAAGGGTAGAGTCATGAAGAGGAATGACCAAATCTAACAGCTGAAACATGCGAAAATAGAAGTTGATTATGCCGACTGATCACTTTTTGGAAGAGGAGGCGGGTGATCGCCCCTACCAAATGTTCCATTGTAGAATTGTACCCCCATTCCCCTGTAACTTAATTTCATTTCTCATTTAGGACATGGGTCATTCATCTATGTTGATGGGACTAACCGAACATCGGGTGATGCTGCAGAACTTAAATCACCCGTAGTTACCAACTCACTCAATAATATCTGCATCCGTTTCCTCTACGCACTCCAAGGCGACATGAGTTTGGATGTAATTCGGGTGGGAGGCGACGGTGCCGAGAAGACACTGCTGTCATATGCCAAACCAACTGGCATGACCAGTGTGAAGTATCTCGTCGAGAGCACAGGATTTCGAGACGATTATTGGGTAGGTTTTGGGCAAAAACAATCGAAAATCAATCTAAGGCAATATCAGCAGTCTTGTCTATTACCTATTGAAATATGCAATGACATATTACGTAATCATGATTTCTATGTGATAGATTGTGACGTATATTATTGTCCTTGGATTGATTTCTCCAAAGTCTTTCGGGTGATGTTTCATATAGGGCCGTTTCAATATCTTATCTTATCTCATCGTTACTATTATGTTCTTATTTTATCTTATCTTGGCTAATCTTATCTATTGTATTCCTTTAACGTATGTTCACATTTACACATCTGGTTGGCAACAAAACCAAACAGCTTTACACAAGCAATTTTTTTTCTCACTTAACCCATTGCTTACTGGAACCTGGTGGTCCCTGTGTTAAGCTTATGGGAATAAGATAATTCAGTAGTCAACAGGTTAAAATGAGATTATAAATGATATTTAAACGAGATTTGTAGACGGGCATACTCAATTTACTGTTAACATCTGTGAAGAGAAAATACATTTTAGATTCTGTTGTGCCAATGTTGTTGAAAATTCAATCATTACCAACATATAATAATTATGTGCCGTAAGGCCTAGCTTTTTCGCTTGATGATTTGATTGAGGATAAGTTAAAGTAATTAAGTCTGATAGAGTTTGAATGTTTTCCTTTCTTTTCAAGTTTGCCTAGCGTTTTATGTAGGTCTCTGATGTATATGATTTCATCGATTTCCGCATACTATTCTCTGCTGTGCATGTAGTATCATGTTTAGCCATCATAACGCAATACCAGTATACCACTGTTTAGTATGAATTAAAGCTCAAGATATCTTGGTCTAATTTTTGTTTTATTCCGGCAGTTTTACATGAAGGCTACCGTAGGAAATGGAAACGGTGACCTTGTTGTCCTGGATAATTTGTATGCCATAGACGACCTTTGTGGTTCATGTGAGTGATCCATTTAAATGTTTCATTCTTTAATTGAACCGGTCTAGATTTACTGTTGTATAGACCTAATTGGCCAGCACAATCAGTTATCATGCCTGCATGCAGACACACTGCCAGTTTTCCAGAGAGGGTGGGGCTCCAAATAGGGAGAGAGGAGCTAGGGGTGAGGGTAGACTGGGATAGGACAATTCAATGGATGTGCTGCTGTAGATATTGATGACTATTTTTATACCTTAGCACAATTTTAAATGTTTGCCGTTGAATACATAAGACGAAGAAGAGCCAAAGTTCGTCGAAACTGAGATTTTGGGGAAAATTAAAAAAAAAAAAAAAAGGTTTCCGACCGACCGACCCATGTTATGGCACCTAAAGGGCAATACAACATCTTTTGTTAGGCCTTAGTTACAGAGCTGCATGCACGTCAAGCCCATACTGCCACTGCAGCTCTTCTGCATTTGCTATGTCAATCGTTCCAAACATTTTGTTTCATAAATTGTTTTAATCATTGTGTTAAAAAAAAATATTACCACCATGTACAAAATGTTCATATTGTTATTGATTATTATTGTATGAAAACTGCAGAAATCAATAAATCGAATTGAATCAAATCACATTACAGTCATGTAAGGCCTATACATATTAACTACCACTTCATTTCTGTACGACCTTTTAGACTTATCAAAACTATTGAATTTCTTCTTATAACTTAAAAACGGTTTTGATGGAGATGGGTCATTTTTCCTCTCTGAAATTCGATTATGATATGGAAACAATCGCCTACTTTTTAAAATAAAAACACTTTGAAATGTTTTTTTTAATTATTTTTTTATTGTTTTTTTTTTACATCAAGACCCTGGCAGCGAGGGATCTGATTCGGATAGCTCGGCTATGGCAGTCTGCGTCATTCTGGGTATTTTCCTCCTCATCGCTGTCATACTCATTGTCATGGTGATCCACCAATATCGCAACACGTCATCCAAGTCCACCGGCTTATTTGCATCCTAAAGTACACGCACGCACGTAGACCAAGTACTGTTCAAACATGGTGAACCATAACCATGGCCCATATTGCAAAAATAAAAAAATTAGGGGGAACTCCCCCATAAAGTCTTTGATATAACTGCACCTAATCTTAATCTTGAGGTAGAATACATTACTAAGATTCAGATGATGTTTGAAGGTTTGCATGGTGGTATGAATAATCACGGTAGAGGTTTACGGTACACCATGTGTAAAGTCCTAGAAGGACTAAGGAAAGTGGATAGAAAATAGAAGTGAAAATAGAAAGGCGAGAAAGTGGAGATTGGAAGGAAGAGTATCTTTCAGAAGTGAGTATAGTCCTGAAAAGGACTGTAAACCAGAAAGTTGTAGATAGGATGAGAGGTTTGAGTAGAAGACTGGATTGAGTTGAAGAGTTGAGTAGAGTTGCAGAGCAGGAGCAGGAGAGTAGACTCGACGTTTCGGACAGGTTGACTGTCCGTCTTCAGGACTGTCCGTCTTCACTCCTGAAGACGGACAGTCAACCTGTCCGAAACGTCGAGTCTACTCTCCTGCTCCTGCTCTGCAACTCTACTCAACTCTTCAACTCAATCCAGTCTTCTACTCAAACCTCTCATCCTATCTACAACTTTCTGGTTTACAGTCCTTTTCAGGACTATACTCACTTCTGAAAGATACTCTTCCTTCCAATCTCCACTTTCTCGCCTTTCTATTTTCACTTCTATTTTCTATCCACTTTCCTTAGTCCTTCTAGGACTTTACACATGGTGTACCGTAAACCTCTACCGTGATTACTAAGATTGTGATGGCAAAGAGCGAATGGTATCGAAGAGTGAGCTTCATCTCTGCTTCGGCCGTCACCTGATGATGACGATATTCATTACACTTTACTAGGCTAAGGCCATGTTTTATGAAACTTGTTATCAATAACAACTACCATAGATCTCTACAATTCATTTAAATGTAAGGATTTTAGTAGCGTATAATAATTGCCGTATCTTAATTCTTATTGATAATGATTATCTTGAAACAGGGAACTGGCTGTCATCTAGCTACAACACAAGGCTTATGTTCCTAGTTGACAAATAGCATGGTATGGCTTCAAGCTAGAACATGAGTAATATGGTTCCAGTGCCCCGAACTGTTTCATACAGATTGTTATCAATAACAAGTGCCCAGATTTTGTATACCAAATTTGCTCTCGGCCAATCAAATGCAAGGATTTCAGTAGCTTACCGACATATCATTTTTTAAACTTTTCATTGATAAACCACTGTTATGAAACAGGGCTCACCTGCTCATAATAATCTTGGCATTTTTGATACAGTTATTAAAACTCTTTGTTCACTTGAGACTACAGCATAACATCGACACATAAGCAGCCTTTATGCTATATTATATGCAATTGTCATACAAATCACACATTTATATCAATGACATACAAGAGACAATAGTCAAAATCATTAGGCATGATTTTTACGACATAAAAATTGAATGGGAAGTAAAATTCATCGTTTTTATTTGTACTGAAAACGTATCAAACAAAATTATATTGTCATTGTTTTTTTTTTTTAATTATCCGAATTGCGTTGCATCGTGAATATCTGAATGTAAAAACTATAACGAATTTCGGATATAGTAAGATTTTCTGTAATACATCATATAACGAGATGTGTAAAGTGTTTATTATGGAGGAAGATAGAAGATAATTATATTCCAAAAGAAGGGTTCCCGAGAAAAGAAATTCAAAATTACACAGTAAACGACTGCTGTCTTCCATAACTTGAAGTTACTTTTGTTTGTATTATATAAAATAATGATTATGTTCATGAGTAACAATGTTAGCATTCGTCATCGCAACACTTTGCAATTTTAGGAAATCGATCATTTCAAGATCTGTACTAGTTTTTTTTTATATCTTTCTTCATTCGTTGCCGTTTGTAATTTTGAGACAAGTGTAAATATATCATTACAAGTTTTACCTTATTTCACTGTACATTTTATTCGTATAAAAAGTAGTCTAATACTCGATATAGTCATTAATCTGTAACTGTTTTTAAAAATGATAGAATATTAAAATTAATATTTGATCAAGTGTCTTTCCTGTAGTGACCACTTACATCATGAAATAAGTGAAATTATAATATTTGAGAGTATAACCAGCTATATTGTAAAATGAAGGAATCAATATTCACTCTATAAAGTCTGCCGATGAAATTGAAATGTATAGAAAATCATTGAACGTGGTTTGTCAACTTTATTGTTTTGATTCTAGCATTATATTCTTTCATAAAAATTAAGAAGTAAAGAAAATATTCTTACTTTTCCAGTTTGAGAAATGTGTAGCCGCGGTCTTCACCGACCAGACGTTCAGTGTAATTCCTATTTTTATTTTATCCATATCAAAGATGGACTGAGTGAAATTGGTGATGGTTTCGATCGTTTGGATGTCACTAACATTAACAATGCTCACGTATCTTTGGTTTATTTAATAATACGAATATTGATTATAATAAACAGTTTGATCAATTTATATAGCGCAGCTACTATATAAAATACTCTACTGCGCTTGAATGAAAAGAAAATTCATAACAGTGCTTCGTTAACACACAATAAAAAGATTATTCAAATTCTTCTGATTCAGAAGACAAATACGTCAACAAAACTTTGAAGACAGCAAAAGATGAGGTTTTTCTTGTGTCTATAGTGGTAGGATGTTCCAAAGCTTTGGAGCGGCGCAAGTAAAAGCGCAATCAATTTACGTACCTTTTATGTGTACTTAGAGGGGGTACAGGTCTTTCTCTCTCTTTCTTTTTCTCTCTCCATCTCTTAATTTCTCACCGTTTTCACTTTCTCTGTCATTCTCTATTTCTCTCTGTTTCTATCCTTCCTTTCCCTCTCATGTACTGGTTTTGGTTTTAATAAAACTAATCTCGCAGTTGTCCATTTTTCATCGAAGTTTTGTGGATTCCTTAATTTCTTGACGTGATTTTATGTCTATCTGTAACACTTTCATACACTGCACGTACACTCTTTTTTTCTTTCCAACTACCATGGAGTGAGCGGCTCCCAAATAGCCGTCTCGAACTTGGCCACAATGCAACAGTGAAAATCCAGAAGAGCTAAAATCTTACTCCTGAAGAATCATCTCCAAAATCTAATTTTGATTTGCCCCCCGCCATTTACCTCACAAATCACATTCTACTAATAGTTATTATGTTTTAAGAATATATTTCAGAAGCTTGAATCAGTCCTATGCATCTATAACCACATTTTCTGTTCTGTCTAATAACACTCTCTCAGAAAATTATAAAGCTTGTTTATGCGTGTGTGAGTGTGGGTGTGTTTGTGTGTGTGCTATCTGGTTAATTATTTACTTATGGTTGAGCTACCTTCACGCCAACATCCGATAGACCTGACTCGAAATAGCAATTTTGTCGAGGTTCTTTGGGCAAATCGGAGAGCCGACGTGTAGATAATCCTTGTCTTAATGGAGTCACTTTTAAGGGTCTATTGATTCGGAGTGTGGGTTAGGAACATGTACAAAACGGAACTCCATCTTACCTGGACGGAAAGTACAGGCAAATTCATCACTAGAGAAAAGACTTGTGTGCATGCGTACGAAGACAACATAGGGTCACCGGCATTATCCTCAATAAATTCGACGGCATTACGAGTAAAAGCTTGCGTGAGACACTTGTGTTGGTAAGGATGTGACATCAGTGTGGCGTTGTAATAGAGGTAGCATTTAGCGACGTTTGGAAAGTCCATATGAAGCTACAGAGATTATGAGCGGATATGAAAACCATTGGGAAAGTGTTGGAAAATTTACAAGAGAATGATTTTTGTATGGTATACATAAACAGAAATAACACTGGTTATGACTTGTGTGCGTTTAGTTAATAAAGTGCATACAACATATAGGAAAATACGAATATGAATTATAGATCAGACAAGAAGTCTCAGAAATTGGGAAATTTTAAAAAGTCTTCAGGATTTCAAAATTTTCCCCGACATATTATTTAATTTATCTCAAAGATAGTTTAATCAATGTGCCAACAATGTCAATATGACAGTGTACACGTGGCACTCCTTTTATCTGGCTATAACAGGGCGAGTTCTTTTCATGGCGATTGCAAAAACTTTCATGAATCAACCTAAGGTAAAATCAATAGCCTCATGCGTCACGTATGTGCAAACATGAAAATGACATACTAAAGGCGAATATGACTTCGATTAACTTCGATAGACATTTCAAATGGATATCATTGCGCTACAGATGATTTCTTGTAAGTCTCTACAATCGAATTCTTTTAATGATTATCATGAATGTTAATGATAAAGTTATAAAAAGGTTATCCATTTGTTGCAGTAATCTTACCCCCAGTATCATCGCAGTTTCAGTTGTTGGAGAAGGGAAGGTTATGGCCCACAAAATCGAATCCGTGATTGAATGGAAGATGAGCGCCGTCTGTGGACGAATTCTCATTAATTCCTGAAAAATTGAACCAAAGATAAAGAGGGCTTCAAAATAAACTATTCAATGTATATCCCAGTTCTGGTCATGCGATTGCATTGAGAAAGAAACAGTTTTGGTACCAAATATATCTAATAGTAGGCGGTTTCCAGGAAAATTTGTATCATCACGTATTAGTCAAAACATATTCTTTCACTTGATTGGTAATAAGAGCTTCCATTTCATTTTTTGAGAGGGGGGGGGGGGCGTTTCAAAAACTGCTCTATACCTTTAAAGATATATCGCAAGTTCTTAAATAATATACTAAAAGAAAAGTTTGAGAGTATTTATAAAAATTTAAAGACTGAACACATTTAAATCATCAATTCATGGGCCCTTTGCAATCTTCCGTTATGAGAACCCCATTAGGATTGGGTTTTTTCCTCTTTATAAGATGTAATTTTTCGCACTGCGACCTCACACATTTTTAAAAAATGTCCTCGCTCGCAATCAATTTTTTAAACATTCACATCCAACTGCAAAGTATGATGCTTAAGCAATATCTTGTATGGTGTATAAAGTGAAACAAATATTGAAATCATCCCTGGTAATTGTAATCACATTGTAGGGGTATATACCACTGTCTAAAAAATTGTATATTTTCGCTTTGAGATTTCCCTTTGTAGGTACCCTTTTTTCTTGGTCCCCCCCCCCTCCCCACATGCACTTTGAAAGTCGCTCGGTCGCCCCTGGTTGGCATGACAATATCAATGCTTGCGATCGGTGAAACTGGAAATCTAAGGAAATGAAAACAAAAAGGAAAATGATGTGACGGGAACTTAATGAAAAGTTTGAGTTCTCGAGGAAAAAAAAGAAGAAGAGTAAATGAGTGTGATAACTGTCGCCCTACCAGGCCTACCTGTCCTTATTGCAATAGCGACAGCTCTCGGTCATATTTAGCCATGTATCTCTGGGATTTGTTTATAAGCTCATCAAATCTTCTCTTTATTCATATATTATACTTATACATTTTGTTTCCTTTTGTTCTTAATTGCTGTCTTTCTTTCTTTCTATTGGCGGATGCGAATGTTAATAGGGTTGTTTTGATTGGGTTTAAAGGCGTCGTCAAATATAAATATTTGCGCTAATAGAAAAACTAAATGAGTCGCTTTTACACTTAGAAAAAGTATTTTACGTACGGATACCAACTGTTGAGGAGGACAGTAATATTTAATGGGTTGTGGGTGGTTGCATGAATTTTGGCAAAACGTTCCGTGACTTTCAAAATCGTAGTACGAACGTCGTGAGAACGTCTCTGCGTATAACAGCTCAGAAATAAATACCAACGCGCGTCATAGATTGTTGCTTAAAAAGTTAATATTGAGCTCTGGTATGGGAATCGTATGTCTAGAGAACATGGCCGTAATTCGATCTGGATTGTTTATACTGCGGTAATTGATAGTTTGAACCAATAAAATAAAAACAGACTCACGAAAACTTGCTGGAAATCTTCAATTAAAACCACAACTCTCATTTGCACATAGCACCTGTGTCTATAATTTGTATATAGCACATTGTGTCGGGCCTACTTACTATTTCCTTATTTTTATATTATGCTCATTGCTCAGCCTTTTACACAGTTCCTACCAAAATCGTTTGACACATGTCATTTTTTTTTTGTAATCTTGAACATACGTGTGAAATTTGATGGATTCTGTGAGAATTTCAATTTTTACCAGAACTCAAGCTTATCTTTGTTTCTTAAACAAAATTCGTATTTCCCTCTCCTCGGCTTCCTTCATCCATCTTTTGGTTAAGACTTTAGAGCCTAACGGGATATTATGCCTATATGTGCTCACAACTTCAACACTTGTTCGTCTTGATTAACTCCAACAACAATGTCGCAGCAAATAAGTAGGCATAATTAATATAATAATTATGAGGAATATTTTATTTTAATTTTTGTCATTATGACAATTAAGGTTCCCGCGATTTTTTTTCTTTCTTTTTTTAACCATAATAATGTCAATGCATAAGAAAAACACCTGCACAATTGGAAACTACATCAGATATCACCTGTTCCAATTGACAAAAGAGAGTTCCTAATCCATTGTAAAACTACTCCAGAAAACTATACCGGTAGGCCAACAAGAGACAAAAGAGATGCACCGCTGTCACCACTCACCAGCGATGTGGGCTTTAAGCCTATCCATAACTCATAAGGAATCGAAAACATTCGAAAGAATAATGTGGAGTGTGCGCAGCGCGCGCCGCTAGCTCCAGCGGCGAACACAGCTGCTCCATTCAGCCCCTGTTTCTCCCCGCCGACGCGACTATCAATTTGTGTGACAAATACACACACACGTAGTACGAACACACAATGCCAAATATTCCATTGAGTTATAGCTTGTGAATTGTACAGTGCAGTCAGGATGTAGGCTTCAACCATGGCCGCCGACCTACTCGAAAACTTCCAATATGGTCTGTCGAGTAGCGGTCTTTCTGGGGCAGACAAGACCGTACTCCTCCTTAAACTTACAGACCCATCCCTGAAATGCATCGAACAGTACCAAAAACTTAAGGTATGTATGATTTTTTGAATAATTTGCTTCGAAAGTTTGTGTCGTTTGGTTCCATTCATTCCAGTTTCGAGCGTGTGAAGACATATCCATATGTGGCAAAATTACTCGCGCTTCAACCTCAGATTCCATATTGATTATGATAATAATCGTTGCTTTATTGACAATTCAGTATATATTTCAATGTTTAACCCACGAAGAGTATATTTATGAGTATGTTATGATATTGCTGACATATGGACTTTTTATACAAAACATTTTCTCCAGTCAGCGATTTGGTAAACAATTTCTCAAATGTCGTTTTCGACTGGTGTTGCAGCACAATTGCACAACAGCGGTTGCAATGCCAATATGGGCAGTCGGCCTGCCACTGGCGCGGGACCGCAGTGGCTTTGTCAGCAGTTTGGCGCGAAGACTTAGCGAATGTACCAAGTATTGATGACAAACTGTATATCATATTTTGTGAAACATTGTCAAGATCATAAATCATATTTGGCTATTGCAGGTATTTGTATTGTCATTATATTAATCATATTAAATTTCCATCAAGCTGACCATTATTATTTGTGAATATTAAATATAAAATATGGTAAAACATGAATTATATTTTGTTTTTTTAAGAATATAACCGTAGATCTAGACTATACTGTTTACTGGTAATGCATATTTAAGTTGACTAGACTATAGCTTTTCAAAGTTTTTCATAATTTTGTGAATGAAAAGGTCACATTCCTCAAAGGGAATGCATAATTATGTCTGGGGGCGGGGGGGGGGGGGGGGGGGTCAGTAGTGGAACAATTGTTATATAATCAAGGGGTTGCTGAGGGTTACCAGGAGAGGCAGCACAAAATTGCTCGTTAAATTATATAAAATTGTCAAAACTAAAACTAAAATAATCAGTGTATAATCTACATATGTACCGGTACTAGTCATAACAATCCTTTTACTAGCATCTATTTAGCAACAACAAAAAATTAAATAACTACCAGTACCTAAAAACAAAAAAATATGTGCAGATCCAATCCATAGGGTTTTTAAATTTGGATTTATGACTTGGGACCCCCCAATGATATATTGATTGATTGATTGATTTTATTTCATTTCATATATACAATAAAGAACTTACATGTAGTTAACAAAGTAAGATCAAAATTATGAAATGAAACAGGAACCTACCGGAAAGCATAGCTTGTTTTTGTAGGTTCCCAAGAATATGAACATTATTTTCATAAATCATTTTAAAGTGTACGGAAAGGAGAGGCATAACATATGTCTAGAAAAGTAAAAACCCTGATGTCCATGCTTATGAAATTTTATGTAAGTTGTAACAACAGGTGAACAGGATACATGTAATTTTGGTATGGGATTTTTGCTGTTTTTCTTATAAAATTGGAAATTGGTGTACCTACATATCCTCTCCACATGTGTTATTTTTCTTGCTGTCTGAAGTTGGTTTCATATCCTGCTGAGGGGTTTTCCCTGAAAAGGGTTTCTTTAAATACTTGCCTACACGGTTATAGAGCGTTTCTAAGCTGTGTAATTACACTATCGAGATGTATTGGTAGCACATGTAACCATAGATTACATCATACACGGCAAGTTACATGTAGGCAACTCATGTGTACATGTATTTATGGATTATATGGATGTTTAAAGTAGACTGTAGTTTCTAGTTTCTATATAAGTAAATGTAGGTACATGTACATGTAAGCCCACTCGCTGTTGATAGCCTACACAAACTATCCCTTTAATTACATATTTCTCATTTGATTGAACATGTTGTGTGTGTGAAGTGTAACTCTTGATACTTGTAAAATGATTCCCCTGCAATATTGCAACATGTGGTGAATTCCAAGTTTTGTTTGTTTAGATAATATTCACTTACAATTACATTCACTAAAAGTCTACACAAATCATGTGCACACAGTGCCCATTTAAGTATTTATTACTGAAAAATATAATGACATTACTGTGAACCAATTAAATTGTAATCCATCATAAAACAAAAAAGAAAAAGGAGGGAACGGAGAAGGGAAAGAGCAGGAGAAGGAAAAAAAGAAAAAAAGGAGAAAGAAAAAGAAGAAAGAGGAAAAGAAAAAGGAGGAAAAAAAGAAGAGGGAAGAATAAGAAGAGGAAGAAGAAGAAATAATTTAAGAAGTGTAGAAATTATGTTTCGAATCTGGATGTTAGCTTCTTCTTCTTCTTGTTCTTCAAGATAATCTGCCTCCTTCAATACTGAAGATTCTTGCAGATGCCGTATACTCTGCCTGATTGGGGTGTGCAGGTGGACCATTACACCATTACACCATTAATGTGCAAGGGTGGTGACTTTCCTGTACATGGGGCCTCCATTTAACGTCCTATCCGAGGGACGAAGTGTTTTCCACTTGACATAACCTGGGTCTATGAACAAGGGAAGGGGGCACGTTAACACACAATGCAGACTTCAGTCATCCGCCTAGGTGTGAGTCGAACCCGGGATCTTTGGTTCGACAGGCAGATGCTTTACCGACTGAGCCAACTCGCCTCCTCCTTGATTTCATTCCAATTTAATGAAGTGAAGATCAATGTAAATTCTACAGATTCAATTTGTGGAAAGCAGGCAGACATTTTCAATAGTTTGCAGGCCTCAATCAAGTGTCTGACTTCACAATGTACTCGGTCAACTGAACATTGCACCATTGAGTGTACACTGTAATTCATTATTGATTCCTCTTGATGACGTCTGTCAGTATTCCTCAAGTACATGTGTTAGGGCCTAAAGGTTATCATTTTTTTTTTTTTTATGGTTCAGAAATTAATTAATTTCAAGAGATGTGCCTGTACGATAGCAGTATAGGCCTACAGTACATGTACACTGTACATGTACGTATAATACAGTCCTGCTTTTTTTCTCTTCTTGTACAAACTTGTAAATGTTTTTAAAACACAAACTCTTTCTGTAGTGTCATGTAGTGTAGTTTTGAAGGGTTACCATACAACATTACAGTTTTTTATTACTACTAGATGTAGGTCTCTGTCAACACAGATTTCTTTCAAACCAGGGCATGATAGTAAAAAAAAACTTTCATGCTACAGTTCATTCTCAATATGTATACATGTACAAGTACCGGTATGTATTCTTTGATTTAAGAATATTGTTGGAATCCTGGTTTTAAAAGTCCATTTTGCTTTCAAAATGGTAAATGACCAATTTTCATTCTTGTGGAGGCAAAGTCGTATCTGTTAAAGATAAACTCCAGTACTGGTAAAAAAAAAAAAAATAATTCTCACAGAATCAAACGAAACTTACACTGAATGTTCAAGATTACAAATAAATGACATGTGCCAAACAATTTTGGAAGAAAATGTATACTGGCTGAGTAATGAGCATAGAAAGACAAGGAAACCAAGGTAGTACCATCCCCGACACGATGTGTGTTGTCCCATATATAGCTTTCTATGTGAGTGTTTGTTACTTTACCAAGACTCGGTCAAATTTATTATGATTTTGATGACTCCAGAACCTTGCAGTGCACACCAATACTTACATGCTACATAATCAACTGTTTCTGATCCTTTCACACCTTTTCTTTCACAATGCAATCGCATTACCAGTACTAAAGTTTAGCTTTAAAGTAGAGTCATTGTACTGAGCTATTGACATGTGACTAGTCACTATAAACAAGTTATCTCATGCCTCGTGGGCACCTTTCTGATCTTCAGTCTATTATTTCGGTCATTCCACTTCCAGGAACTCGGTCCATTCAAAGATAGCCTTGGAATTCAATATTCTCAGAAAAATGGAGCCATTCACAAATGGTTTTTAACTGAGTGCAGATTTGATAAATGCATAGAAGTTTGAATAATGTTCATTGTAGGCCTCATGGGGGTACTCTTATTGAACATCGGAGTGCAGTTTAGTCTCCCATTGTGAATATAAGAATAAAGACCAATATGTATCCTGTTCTTGTAATCCATACAGTGTATACAGTACATCAATCACTGTGCATGTACAGGTACATCCAAAATAACAGCGCACACAATTGTATGCACAGTGCAATTCTCAAGTTCTTGTTCAAGCACCTTGTACATGTATTATGAATGCTGAACAATAGGCCATGCAAAATGTATAGACATTTGTTTCTTCACTTAACACAGAGATCCTTGCTAAACCACATACATTAAGTCCTTCACCCAAAGTCATGATTCATTTCCTTTAGAATCTTTTTTCCTTCTCTTTATTCATTGTCCCTGAGGGAAAGTTGTACCCTATGGGCTGGAGTAACACTGCCACTCCGTTCATACTACTTGTAAAGTTAAAGATTATCTTGAGCTCTGGTATGGGAATCGTATGTCGAGAGAACATACAGTGTAGCTATAATTCATTCAGGATTGTTTATCCTGCAGTAGATTGATTGTTTGAACCAGTAAAATAAAAACAACCTCACAAAAACTTGCTGGAAATCATCTTTGTTATCATAGATACTAGACTTACAGTGTACAGATTTGTTTTTCTTCTTCAATATGTTCTTAAGAGAAAACATTGACCATCAGCGAGGTGTTTGTATGATAGGGCTATGTCCTGCACTGATCCCTCAAAAAACTTTAAAGATTTGTTGCTCTCTAACGATTCCTAAATGTATGTACCGTACATGTGTGTACTGTACATGTATGTGTGTAGAGTGTAGACCCACAAACATACTTGTTACCTGTAGGCCTATGCACTTTGGTAAAAGAAAACTATCACTTTCTAAACTGCAGTGGGGAAGGGATGGTATGTTTATACTGAAGGTGACAAAGAGTGTCAATGTGCACATGGATACATCATGGACCCTTGTTACAGGCGTGGAAGCATCTGTGATATTAGTTTGACCGAGGAGGTAGGATTTAGCTCCTTGGTTTAACCGGAACTGGATACCCTATTCTTCTCTTGACCTCCTTCTTTTCCCACATGTGATCATGATGATCCTCGTGTGTGATGGATATTATGTGTCTATAATGTGTCATCATCCAGTACAAGC